ATCTTTTGTCCCATCGTGGCTTTCATGACTGTGTTTCGAAACTGTTTACTTTTCTCGCCTCATTCTTTGAACGAAACTGTGAGTCTTTAAGAAGAACTGATAGTGAAGTGGGAAAACAGTTGACCAATAAACCTGAAGCAGCAGATCGAGACTCAGTTAAGACCGAGAAATAATTTGTTTCAATTTTTAGCTTTCATTGATTTGGAATGGGGATCATGAGTTAAACTATGTTTGAAAAGTGCGAACTATGTTTAAAAAGGAAACAATTGCAAAAGATCATAATCTTATTAGCAGGAGTGTATTGGATCAAACACATTTTGTAATGTTCAATGCAATCCTCTTTCTCTACAAGAAAATAATGTGACTCATATAGTGATTTCTTTTGTATTTAATTCAAAAACTCAGAAAAAACGTTTCTCTGAACATTTGAAGTTTTTTTACACCGGTTATTTATTGCAGATGGTCAGGTGTATCTGTTTTTTTTCTCCCAGTCAGGGAAAACGAGGCTTTATTCCTGTATTAGTTTTCAAAAATGTTCTATTTTTTCACGTATTTAAAAAAAACAAGAAGACTAGCATACTTTTCAAGACTAGCATACTTGAGTTAAGATAATGACCTGCTGTCTTCACTGGAAATTCCTTTTTTAACAAGCTGATTATACAGAGCAAAAAAGTGACATGGTAGATAATGATCTGAGAAAATATATATATAGATCTCGTCGCAGTTAGTCAAGCGTATCAATATTTGTCTCAGAGGTGAAGTTAAATTTAATTTGAAGACTATACTAATTAGAAAACCCTTAAATTTTCTTGTCTTTATTCAAAAAAAGAAGAAACGCTGCATTTTTTTCAAAGTTCCAAAGATGAACAGAAGCGATCTTTACTGGGATGTCCTACTTGACAGATTAAATTAATTGGGTAAAAATTTATGTGCGTTTAAGGCTACTGATCGCATTTTTCTTTAATCAGCTTCTTTTTGGCCATATGAATGACTGGTTTGGAAAAGGTTTCAAATCTTTAATGGTACTTTCTTTATGGAATTGTCTCTATTCCTTATGTCTGTATCAAGGAAGCACAGTTCAATGGTAAATCAACTGATCACAACGCCAGTGAAGTTAGTTCGAGTCCCGGAGAAGACCACTGATTTTTTGTTTTAAGTGTTTACTTTCGATCGATTTGAAACTTTAATCTAATTCCTCAAAAATGCAAGATTTGTGTTACGAAGGAACGAAGTAAAAAAGCTATCTTATAACGAGCAGGGCCTCGTTGACTAAATCAATTTAATCAATTGTTGTTATTTTTCCAATCCTAAAAGACTGAGAGTAACAAGATATGTGTTTTTGAGTTTTGTTTTAATTTTCATTTTGTTATTCTTGACGTAATCTCGCAGTTTCCGCGGCCCTGCACGGCTTGAGCGGAAACTGCCACAGTAAACAAAAAAAGGCCGAGTCCTTCCTTGCCACATTATTTAACCAAGTAGCTTTCATGTAATCACCGAAAAGTCCACACTGAGCAGATGATTAGAGCAAGAAATGAAAAATCTACAACTATAAGTTTGGTTATCAAATCCCGCAGAGAGGGAAACTGAAACTTTTTGAAAAGCTTCAAGAATAATGACAGGTTGCTTTTTTTTGCCTTAGTTCAACATAAATTGACTGTTGCTTGAAAGCCAGGTCCAGTCGAAGAGTTGTTTAGAGCAATGAAATCATGGGCGATAGATCTAGTGTTCGAACCCCGCATTCAGCTCTACTAATATTAAAAACTTCATGATTCAAGACAGTGAAAATTGTGGTAAAGCAAAGCTTCTCATCAGTTACCTACTGCTTAGTTACGAAATGCACCAGCACAGTTGGCTAGAGCGATGTGATCAGGGAGGATAGGTCGGTACTAGGAACCCCGCAGTGAGCTGCGAAAATAAGTGAACCAACTTGATCACAGATATCGGGTTTGGAAGAAAACAGTCACTGACCCGGTGCAAACAGCAAAAAGCCAAGAACCCTGATCAGGCCCCGCGCCCTGCCCCCCTTGGTATATGTGCACATTTTGAGTTCAATTGAAATTCATCTGCAGCAAGTGACGTAATTAGCGCTCTCCAAATACAAACGTGGATTTGGCGCGAAAAAACCTAAACCATTTCTAGTTTCGGTTAATGTTATGAAGAAAACGCCAATCATAAATCTTTCTAAACTCAAAGAGCTTAAAGTTCATCTATTTTTTTCTTTGAATTTTGATATTTGAGTTTTTTTTCAACGAAATCAGTGTTTTTTTCATGTTTACTTGCTTTCGTTACTCTTTTTACACCGAAGACTTTAGTCAAGGTGTTATGGTATCGTGTAACGGGTTTTTTTTTTAATGTTGTCTGTTGTCAAGTGTCGACAAATAACGTCCACAGTTATCAATTATCATGTGGGCTGGACTATATCGCGCTATGTCACGTGATTGCGTATGTTTGTTTCATTATTTGTTCATCTTTATTTATTTAATTATCTGTTCTTCTATTTATTTAATTATGTTTAGTTTGCTTATATTTATTTATAATTTATGTATGTACATATTTATTTTTGTTTATTTTTATCACGTGTTTTGTTTATTTATTTAATTATTCTTTCTTTCATTTAGTTTTGCTTTTATTATTTCTGCGTGTGTATTTATTTAATTTATTTATTTTCATTTATTTATATTATGGGTCTGTTTGTTTGGTTATTTGTTCATATATATTTTTTCATGTCTATTTAATTATTTGTACATTTCACTTTTGCTTTTATTTATTTATTTATTTATTTATTTATGTATTTATTTATGTATTTATTTATTTATTTATGTATTGATTTATTTTTTTATTGCTTATTTATTTATCAGGTGTGTTTTGTTTATTTTTGCAGCCGTTTACTATCAGCTCATCTTCAGTGTTTGGCGTCTCTCAAATTTCCCTTGACGTTTGCAATAAATCTGTTTGAGCATAGCTGATTCCCTCTTTGCAGAGCTTTACAAATCATACAAACAGGAATCTTGGACACATGTCAACGGGCGCTCTGTCAAGTGGATTTCAGAGGTTCCATACTCATATGGAAGCGTTCGCCACCCGCCCAACAACTCTTGGTCACCACAGTTGTTGTTGTTAAAGACCTTGTTGGAGAAAGAACTCAAAGTTTCCTTCAACAGTGTCCTCATCAACATTTATTGTTCCCTCGAAGAGGTATTATCACAAAATACCGTCATAACAATTAGATAACATAGAAAATGTACTTTGCCTATCAGTATTTTTAGGGAGTTGGATTTCACGCTGACAACGAACGTGGTATTCCTGATTATCCAACCATTGCCAGTGTATCCCTTGGAGCCACCCGACGCTTTGCAATGAAAAGAAACGGGACCACGCGCTCTGAAGTTTCTGTTTTGTTGCCACATGGTAGCGTTTTTACCATGCTCGGAGCTTGCCAGAAAGACTGGAAGCACAGCATCTTGAGAGGATCCACTGCACCCGATGGATCGTTTGAGAAATGGAATGGCGTCCGTTTAAATTTGACGTTCCGTAATCAGTTTGACGCTGAACGTTGAAGTTTTATGTCATTTTTATTACTTGCCGGTTTTTGAAGGTTGAATTTGAACTTGATTTCGTGGAATACTTAACTGATATCCTTACCTGATTGAAGTTTTGTTCATGAATACCAACATTGGTACATTTTTCAGATCTGTGTCATGTCTTTGCAAGTATTTTTTTTGTTTTTTGGATTTGTTTTTCGGATTGTTTTACTGCTACATACTGTCAATTCTGAGACTGCTTCACAATTTCTCAATATAATAAGACTAATAGCTTTTTTTCATTTTAGCTCTTTCTTGTAAGTATATGTGTAAGTACGATTTTTAGTTATTCCGGAGACCCATATGAGTCTACATGCCAATTTATACGATTGGCCGATTGAAACGACAGGAGGCGTTTTGCTACACATACAAACACAATCTTTTGTATTTTTTTATAGCTATAGAAATTGATCTACAATGCGTAAGTACGACATTTAGTTCTACGATTGTTATTTCAGGTCCTTTGTCAATATTTCAGGCTCTTTGTCAATATAGCAAAATTTTGGTGTATATATGTGTTAGTAAGATTTTTAGTTCTACAACGTTTATTCAGGCTCTTTGTCGATATAGCAAAATATTGGTGTATACATGTGTTAGTACGATTTTAGCTCTAGAATTGTTATTTCAGGCTCCTCGTCAATATAGCAATATTTTAGCGTATACATGTGTTAGTACCATTTTTAGTTCTCGAACTGTTATTTTATGATCTATGTCAATATATCAAAATTTTAGTGTATACATGTGTTATTACGATTTTTAGTTCTCGAACTGTTATTTCATGATCTTTGTCAATATATCAAAATTTTATTGTATACATGTGTTAGTACCATTTTTAGTTCTCGAACTGTTATTCCATGATCTTTGCCAATATAGCAAAAATTTGACGTATACATGTGTTAGTACGATTTTTAGCTCTCGAATTGTTATTTCATGATCTTTGCCAATATAGCAAAATTTTGGTGTATACATGTGTTCGTACGATTTTTAGCTCACGAACTGTTATTTCAGGCCCTTTGTCAATATAGTAAAATTTTGGTGTATACATGTGTTAGTACGATTTTTAGTTCTAGAAGTGTTATTTTATGATCTTCGTTGATATATCAAAAATTTAACCTATACATGTGTTAGTACGATTTTTAGTTCTAGAACTGTTATTTCAGGCTCTTTCTCGATATAGCAAAATTTTGGTGTATACATGTATTAGTACGATTTTTTGTTCTAGAACTGTTATTCTTCAATTATTAGTTGTTCAAGTTGTTTGGTTTTTGCTTCAGTTTCTATGCCTTCGGTGTATTGCGCGTAGCGCCTATGTTTTAATCATCGATTGGCTTTGTTTTTATATTAGCTATTAGCATTTTTGCGCTTTCCATTAGTGATGTTATAACTGTCGTTTGATTTCTAAAATTGATAACATTGAAGGTGGAGAAACTAGCGATCAAAGTGTGGGGATCACTGGAAAACATTGAAGCCGAGATTGACAGGCGAGACGAGCGGACCGACGCAAGTCGGAAGAAACGTGTGGAAAAAGAAGTTAAACAATTGCGCAGAACTGTCCGTTCTACCACGTGGACAAAAGATCTTTCCGAACAAACACATGTACACCAATTTGGAGATGAGGAGACGCACGTGAAAGCAGACATGTATAGCAGAACGTGTACAAGTTGCGGATATGTTTCAACTTTTGAAAAACTTTAATTTTTTTATGAAGTACTTAATGTATGAACTTTTTTCTCGTTTTTTTTTTCAGTTTTTTTTTCAGCTTTGGTCTTTACATTTGTCAACACTAATTTCTTGTCTTGGGCGGATTGAGTTTTAAAGTCCCCTTTTCAGTTATTTCCGCAAATAGTGGTAAAATTGCACTGTATAATTTAAAAAGAAATGATTTAATCAATTTTTCTATCTTAGTCTGATTTTTTTGGTGTTATTTCTTTCCGAATCTGCGGAAACTAAGTCAGCATTCAGTGTTTCTAATTTCGAAGGAAATAAGCAATAAGTTTAGTCAGTTTTGCAGTTTAAAATGTGTTGATTGTTTTTTGCGCATTCTTTCCTTCGCGAATGAGAGTAGCTCCCAATCGGAGCTTGTGTTTTTCGGCGTAATTCCCAAAGCATGGATTTTTTCCTGAATTGAATGTTAAGGTCAAATCTCTAGACAGATTGCTTTGAAAGTTCTCTTTCATTAAATGCGCTCATTTTAATTAAGAAAAAGGGCTTTGTGATGTTATGCAATGCTTGAAAAAGTTAACTTCTTACCAACGAATTCAAGTTATAGAAAAATGCGAAAATTCCGACAAATTTAATTGAAGGACAATTTTCCTAATTCAGAACATTTTTTTGCATGCAAAAGGTAATTTTTCAGGCTGTTTTTATGTCTCAACGTCATCTAAAGCTTGAATTTGCTCGAGAGTCGCTGATTTTGGTGGAAAAAATGAATGAAATGATATTAATGTTGAAATTGTAGTCGAACTGAATAAGGAGATCAGCCTCTCCTCAATCTTCGTCGAAAACATCAGATCCATTTTTTTAATCGCCACTGATGGTTTTAAGAATCTGTATCACGGCCAAAAGAGCTATAATATGATACCACACTTGACCCTCTACTAATTTTCTTTGAGGTAGTCAAATTTAGCTAGAAAAAAAATTAATAAACGCATTCATCGAGATACCCATCCATCGAGAAAATTCGAGAAAATAATTATATATGTAAAAGACCAATTGACCTATTTTAGATCGATTCGTTGTCTCTTAGTTTTCTGAAACATCAAAGTTGCAGCAAAAAAGTGTAAAAGTTGAAGTATTGCTCTTTTTATTAGTTCGTTGGGTCCCAAATTTTGCAACTTGCTATATTTCAAAGTTTCATCCTTGAAAGCTTGTCTAAAAAATTTTTTAGCAAAGCAGATTGTTATCAAAGCAACTTTAATTGCACCTAATTTTGATCACCCTGTAGCTTGCTTCATAAAACTTTCGAAAGCTGGTTCAACCATTGAAAATTTGTTTTCGGCTGCTGGGCGGTACACAAACACGCTTTTGTTTTAGTGTGGAACAATTTTTTGCTTTTTCCGAAAACCCATATCAAAACGACGTCAAGTAAATCAGGTCCATGCTTGGAATTCCGTGCTTGAAAAAATACTTATCAAAACTCAATCAAGTATATAAAAGTGAACTTGAAATTAATCAAATTTTTTTAATAGCTCGCTTGAAAACTTGAGCAATTTGAACATTTGAATTTGCTCAAGTTTGGTTTAACTTCTAAACATTTTGAAGTCTTTCAGTTTCATTTTTTGATAGCATACTTATAAAATTTTGTGTTTTCGCAATCCGGTTCAATGAAAATGTTTAATTTTCTCAATGTTTTTATCGGCTGAAGCTAGTTTTATTGCAATTATAACTCGTTCTGTAATTTGCATTTTTTTTTTCGATCCGGTTTTTCTGTAATTGACCCTTTATTTTTTCGCGAAAGGTCACGAAAAACGTGATGGACATTTAATTACGAAAATGAAATTTCCCAGCGAAATGAAAGTTTTGCCTATTGATCCAGTTTTCTCAAATTGGGTTGACTTCAACATAAAAGTGTCCATCATACAATGCTCTACAATTTCAAAGAGCTTTGAAGCCATCAATTTTTTTTTCGAAAATCAAAAGTTGAAGCTGAAGGTTTTTGAAAAAACAAGACAAAGCAGTTTTTTTTTCAGTTTCCTTGCTCTTTCATTTCTTTTTTCCAACTATCAGTTGGCTATGTTTTGTTTTTCACGCAAAATCAGTTCCCATAAACATTCCTCGGAAATTGGCGAATGAGTTATCATATTCAGCTGTGATTGGAACAATAATGAAAAATTCTAATTTTTTCATAAGGATTTAACAATAACGAATTTTTTTATTAGGTGAGCGAGCAGGCTTAAAATAGCTTATTTTTGCCTAATTTAGTCCCTGAAAACTTAGTGCATCTCGAGTACGGTTAATTTTTGCAGTTTACTTCCGCCCGTTTGGAAATCAAAAGCTTTCAAGAAAAAATTTTCCGAGTTCAAAAATATTCTGCAAAAAAGTTCGAAAAAAAATTGAATTTTTTTAACGATTTTTTTTTTCGTTTTTCTATTCATTTTTCCGCTATTTGAATTTCTAATTTTTATTATGAATGCCGAAATATGCCTAGCTCTAGAAAAAATATTTTTGTATTTTTTAAGACTATGGTCGGAACATTCTGTGCTAAAACCAATACTCTTGTTCTAAGCTTTTACAAGTTCATTTCTTCACTTAACGCACAAAAAAATTGTCAGTATTTAAAGACAAAGTGTTATTTAAGCTAATTTTATCAAAAAGGATTGTGATCGTAACCTCTGTGATAACTTGCGGAGCAATCAGAAATTGTTTCCAAGCTTTTTTCTATGGCTGGGACATGTTAGCTCATCCTGAAGCAGCGACCAAAAATAGTTACTTGATTCGACAACCAACCTATGTGACCTCTATATATACTTTTTACTAATGAAGCGCGTCTGAATTGCTTATTTTTAGCTTTCTAGTTGTAATACGTCACAAGTTGTGTCTAAAATGTTTGTATGTTGTTAACTTTGGTTTTCTGCTCGAAAAAAAATAATTGCTTTTATTCGCAGGCACGAAAAATTTGTGACGCATGACAGATTGTGATGAATTCAAATGCTTTGGAATGTATATGAACTTGGTTTTTGAAATAGAAATTATAAGTTGCGCCATCAGTCAGGTGTATTTTTTCAATAACTGATTAAATATTCATTTGAAGTGTATTTTCGCATACCTGTATTTGCGCATATCTAAGTGCTTTTTGCTTTTAATGTGTCAAATGCGACAAAAAAATCATTCTTTTTCTCGGAACATCGGGGCAAAAATCATTAAAACTATAGTAGACCTAAGGGCAAAAAAAGAGCAGTATTTTGAAGGGTTTTTGAAAGTTAAATGTGTATTTAAACGCCTATTTTGCGCCGCAGTAGAGTTTTTGAAACAAAAAATGGACCAAAAATGACGGTTTTTGTCACTTCCTTAAAGGTTTCGACCAAAAATTAGCGTTTTTCGACGTGCGCTTCCCCTTAAGTTTAGAATCGATTTATGTCGCAAAATAAAATCGAAGGGGAATTTTTTGCCAATGTGTTGAACCACTGAGGGGGAAGGCCCCTCCAAATCCACCTCTAATTTACAGTTTACTGTTTTTCAACCTACCTAATTGATGAGTCATCTTTGAAATAAAATTTTAAGGAAAAATGGCTTTTTTGGCGTGCTAGTATTTTGTTTTTTGTATATGGAATTCAAATGTCCTCTTTTGATTTTTCAACATCCTGTTAAAAAGAATGAATTGATCGAATTTGATTTTCTCTTCGTTAAAGATTTTTAGCACGTGTGACCGAACATATTTTTCAATGTGATGTGTCTGCAAGGCGGAGGACAGCAAGGTACTGGGGGTTCACAGCGCATAGGAGGAGGTATATTACAGATGGGGGGAGCACGCAATGGAATCCACTTGGGCGGGTTGCATGTTGTATTGTAGCCGTAGCCATAGTCCGCGCAGCACCCGTTGCATCGCAGTTGACATGGACCATACTGAGGCCAGCAACATTTGCGCATGTTTCTTAGCTTCTCGTACCTTTCACAGTCAGTGAGGGGTTTTGGTTTAACCAACACTAATTTCTCTTTTGGCGGCTCTGATCCAGAACCAGAGCGAGAACCAGAACCAGATCGCTTAGCCTGGGATCCACTTCCCTTAAGACCTCCTTGACTAGATTTTTTCGGTCCACCGCTTCCACTAGAGCCACTGGACGCTGAGTCAGCTTCGCCGGATCCTCTCGCGGCACTTGAACCTCTCTGTTGACTGGATCCGCGAGCTTCACTAGATCCCCGTGCTTGACTTGAACCTCTTGCCTCACTGGAACCGCGTGCCTGGCTAGATCCTCTGGCCGCGCTTGATCCTCGTGCTTGACTGGAGCCCCGAGCTTGGCTGGATCCTCTCTGGGCGCTGGATCCCCTGGCCGCACTTGAGCCTCTGTTTTCCGACATTTTTATATAATATGCTGTATTTTGCTGATTGGTTCTTTCTTGGTTGTCTCAACTTTACTGCGGCTTGTGTACAATTAATTTATTTGAGATTGACTTTTGACTGTTGGTTTTAATTTGGTTTGACTTCTAGAATCTATCTAGTAAACCTTGCAATCAGCAAGGGTATTGCAATCGGGTACTAGTTTTTTCTCCCTCAAATAACTTTCTTCACAGAAGGGCTAAAAATAGATCAGGTAAATTTACTCATGTGCCGACTATATAGGGCTATTTCTAGTCCCTTTTGCTGGAAATACTGCAACATAGGTATTTTGGGCATGTTAGGAATTTAAATATTTGCCTAACATGCCCACGCAGAAGAGGATAAAAAAGAGGGGGACAAAAGTTTTTTTTTGAATTTTCTGTTTTTGATTTTTTTCTCGTCGTAGAGGGTTTGATTCTTTTTTCCTTTTCCCCACCTGAAACTTTTTAGAAGTAAAATGATTGTTCACATTGCTTGATTGTTATGAAAGTTTAAATGTCGATTTATTAAGCCATGACAAACATATTTAATCATCATAACCAGGTAAAGCCACACGTTACACCATAAAACTGATGCTCGTGCGAGGTGGGAGAAAAGGTAAAAGAGCCGAGGGTTTCTGCTCAGGCTTTTTGATCTTGTTACCTCTTAATAAGTGGTCTTCCGATGCTTTTTTTTACACTATATTGTGCTGGCACGATGATTTTTTTTTCAAAAGTAGCGTTTTCCAATTTTATAGATCTATTGTATTCGACAATTTCGAAATTTTATGGTTTTTTTCAACTTAGCGGCTTTCTTGTCATGTGTCGCAAGTAGTGCGAAGCTCGGCTTTGCCTTGATGTCATGGATTTGAGAATTCAAGACGAATCGAACTATTCATTTTCTCAATTTTTTTATAGACAAAATCGCAAAAATAAATTTTCCGGGATTTCCAACAAATTTTTTTGATGGAACGAAAGAAAATGGTCTCAGCTACCCTCAATTCAAGTATCACCACTTGTTTCAAAGTCTGATCAAATTGTTAAAGGCTAAAAAACTCTAAACGCTTAAAGTTACGATGCAAGATATGAAGAATAAATCGATTAACATCTGTTAGTTTGTTCACCATGACAAGTTTTATTAACATTCCGACAATGAGAAAGTTTTTTCTACTTGAGTGTGAAAGGTGAGGAGGAGTGGGAAAAAGGCATCAAAGAAAATTTTTTGACCCAAAATAATGTAAAAAGTCCTTCAAACCAAATAGTGGTAGTTTCAGTGAGGCTAGTTCAGATCATTTGCTATCAGCCGTTGTAAAAATTTCATTCTCAATCTAAAAAGATTCATGAAAACAGATATTTCAGATAGTATAGGGGCTTAAAGAGAACTCAATGCAGGGTTGAAAGAAAGGAGAAAAATGGTAAGGATAAAGTTAGGACGAGGGGGTTAGGATATAGAAAAAATACTTTTTGAAAATTTCAAATAGAGAATTCGGTATAAGTCATTTTGACTTTCTTCTTTTATAAAGGCATGTTGGTATAGAGGTAACAAGCGTGTCTCATCATGTCCATCACAATAGAGATGGACATCTATTTGACACATTTTTTCTCGTAGACAAATATATTAGTTTCATAATTCTTATGATTCAGTATAAAATCATAACTCTTGTAGTGTTTCGGGCAAAACTGCAATGGTAGACTTAGAGCAGGTCATCTGATCTCATTAAGTGCCTTTTCCAAGGGTCCCGTACCTTCAGTATTGTACTAGGTAATTTATACTCTTGAATAAATTGATTCTTTTTCTTCTTTGAAAACCTGCATTTGCTTTCAGTTTTTTAGTGAAAGACATTGTGTGGTGAAAGTTGGAATGGAAATTCTTTCTGAAGTTACCCAGAGAAAACCAATTTTGTTCAAAGGATAAATTTTTGCTTATGGCTTCCTTTTTATTCAAACTGCCGACCTTAAAAAGGCAAGGTTTTGCCGGGGTTGTGGTTGAATCCGGGTAGAAAGTTTTCACGATATCATGAAAAATAATATCATGAAAGGTATTCAGAATCTGTTGTTGCCTGTCACAAACATTATGGATTTTACGAATTGTCAAAATGCGTATCTCGGAAAAAATTTTTGTGCATCGAAGTGTTAATGTTACTTTTTCATTGTCGCCCAGTATACAGTGCTGATTTAAATTATCCGGCCAAAACGAACATTTGAAATTTCAAAATGTTTTTTTTTCAATATGGGTTTAGATGAGACAAAAAGTGAAGAAAAGAAAGTTGATTAGAATTTCATTGGATTTTTTGTGGTGCAATTTTTTACCCGAAATTATTAAACAAAATTTTAACCCCAAAAATATGTTATGGGCTGCTTTTTTGGTTAATCTAAAATTACGTTTACTAAATTAATTGATGAGAAAGTTATATCAAAAGAAGCTTCTTACATAACCCAACATTGTTCTAGTAAATTAATTGATGAGAAAATTATATCAAAAGAAGCTTCGTACATAACCCAACATTGTTAACCCAACATAAGGTTAAATTTTGCTTTACAATTTCGGGAAAAAATTGCACCACAATAGTTTTTGTGAAATTCTAAGCAACTTTGTTTTCTTTTTGTCTAATCTTAACCCAATTTGAGTGTCCGGTTAATTTAAGCCAGCATTGTATATGGACGGTTTCTGCATTAATTTTTAAAAATAATTATTGCATTTCATATGATTGACTCGAAACTGATTTTTAGACAGAATGAACTTCGGCAAACTGAGCGATGAAAACGCTAAGCCTAAGTTACTTTTTGGGGCACCCGCTGATATAGTGGACGATATGGATCACTTATCAGTTAGAGAAACTAATGATACATCATCGTCTGCAAATGACACTTTCAAAACGAAGACCAATAAATCGGAAGGCATTTCGGTCCCTGACAATGACTTATCTGATGAAGATCTTGCGTTTGTCTGCGACGAAGCAGTTTCACCTTCGAAGAAATTCAATTTAAAAACTACATATTCTCTGGATCAAGCAATGGCTGGCAACAAAAAGAAACGGAAACGGAGAGGATTTAAGGCCAGTTTGGCCACTGGAATGGTTCTCCCGGGACTCCAAACGGAAGGTCAAAATGATGAAACAGAATTGAAACTTCCAAATGAACAACTGAATGCTAAAAGCGACACTAACGCAATAGAAAATTTGTTCGTTATCTGGTCCCAAAATGCAAATATAAAAAACTGTTTGTTTTTCGAGACACTTACATTGTCATTTCGGGATACAGAGCGACCTTTGACATTTTTTGCGAATTCATTGGTCAAGTTCAACTCTGAAAATGTGCTAAATAGTGATCTATTTGAAAAATCCTTCGAGTTGCTGGAAACTTTTTTGATTAAAAACCCGAATCGAATCGACAGTAATTTGGAGATAACAGTTCAACAGAGTTTGTTGGAATCAGTTTGTGAGCTGGATTTTACGCCAAATCTGAAAAAGTGCCTCGAATTGTATCGATTAAAAGACGTGATGGGAAATGCATTTGTGTTTGTTATTCAAAAGCTGATTGGCAAAAAGAACTTCAAGGTATGATTTTTAAGTATTCAGGCATGACGTTTCGTTGCTTAAGAAAGGCCAAATCAAATAAGTATCACGAAACGAATTTGATTTTTCTTCTTTCACGATACAAACAACTTGATGAGGACTAATGATGTTATAATAAGAAATTGTTTAACAAAACCACTGAATCATTGTGCAGATGACATGCTCTATTTTTAGAAAAATCAGTTCGATCTGGATACTAATACCTCATGCTGTATTACCTTCTGCCACTCTCGATACTGAGAAATGCTACATCTAGGATTTTAACCATTTTGTCTTTAAAAATAGAATTTCGATAGTAATTTTTCATGATGATTTTTTTTGGCTTCTTGATTGTCGGCTTAAGAACTGTCGGCTTAGTTTCCGAATTGTTAATATGATTTATTTATTTATTATGCGAGTGCTTTTGTTCAAAAACGTGGATAGGAACCTTACACGGTTTTCATAAAACTTTTTTTTATTCGATTCTTCATATTCATTTTTAAATCGATCTTCAGACTTCGGCTATTCGGCTATAATTTTTGTCAGCTTTGGTTTCCATTTAAATTCAATTTGTACCTTCAAACTGTACTGTTGCTACATTCTGGACTCATCGATCAATTTTATTCCTGGGACGACAAGCGTCCTCAGTTCGAACTGAAAAGTTTTTCCTGGAAAGAGTAAACTGAAAAGATTTTCCTTTTGAAAACATCTTCGGCTCATCGTTTGTCTGATTACTTCTTGTCGGCTTAGTTGCCACAGCGTTGATTTGTCTTGGAGTTTAAGCAATTCCCTCAATAAGTTAAAGTCATTCCTGTAATTTTTAAAACGATCATTCCTGATTCTATATAATTTTCCGTTTGTTTTTTTTTTCTAGTTTTTTTGCTCAAAAGATTTTTTCGCTGTAAATAGTTTTGAAATCCATCATATCGGCTTGTGATTTCCAAATTGCCTTGTTTGAAAGTAAAAGTTTTTTTGTATGTGTTTCGAATTTCAAAATTGTATGGCTCAATTTTGTTTGCGGCTCAACTAGCGTCTGCTCAAAAGTTTTTGATTTAGTTGCCGCTAAATGTCTTTAACGCTCCTTTTTCTCGTTTTTTTTTGTGTTTCGCTCAAATTGAACATCTTTAGAGACAAATGCATGAAAAAGTTTTTTTAACAACTTTTCATTCATTTTTTTTCTCTTATGAGTGAATAATCTTGGTCTCCGTTTCAGCAACTAGCTCTAATCGTTCACTATCTGAACCTGTTTGCCTTCGTGGACCTCACTCGTGACCTGTTCATGCCCCTCGTGGCTCAGAATAATGTGAATGTGCTCGAGATCATTCTGTCAGGAGAAGAGACCCTTCAGTGGGATCTAGTCTACTTCCTCGATTCTGTCTGCTCTCCCAAATACAGGCTAGTATGGAGAAATCTTCATGCACCGAAATTAAGTTAACCATATAGTGCTCAGTATATACCATAATTCAGCATTCGAAAATGTGAAAAAACAACTGGGAAATCAGGCCTGTTTGGAACAGTTTGAAGGATGCTGATTGGTTTAAATTGTTTGGGCTTTTAGTCGTGGGAATAGCTGCCTGCAAATTTTTATACTGAATTCTCATCAGCGTGACTATGTTGCTGTTATTATTATCATCATTGCCTTACATTGATTCTGAAGTGAACGAATGTACCATTTTTGCTATGATTCCAAGGATCAACTGTACAATCCCCCTTCTCCTACGTGACCTACAGTAGAATACCCTCCCCAATCATGTATCAATTCTGAAAAATAATTCTGTATAAAAGATGCATTTCATACAGACATGCAAATAAATGTGTGTTTAAACTTTTTAAGAGGGATTGCATTTCTATTATACGTTTGATCCGATTAAAATTGATAATCTCACAAGTGGACTAAAGGGAGGGTTTGGTTATTTCAATTTAAATACTAAGCTCACCTAGCAAAGACGGGGTTTACCTCCGTAAGATTTGATACGGGACTGTTATCTTATCTTTGATTTGTTTCCATGTTTTACGTGAGGACTTGTCTCTGAATTATTTTTAAGTCTAAATTTCACAGGTTCACTGACGCACTGAACGAGACATACGAGGACGGAGCGGATGCAATTCCCAAGATTCAATACGACAAAATTCGTCCAATGGTAAGAAACGAGAAGAAAACTCGGATCGTTTCTTTTTTTTGGTTTCTTTTTAAGTTCTTTAGAGTAAGAATTGTTTTAATTGGCGGTTTTGTTGAAATGTTTTTAAGTCGCGTTTTTTAGGACTGTGTTAGATGTTTTTCTTAGTTTATTTTTTGTTTCTGATTGTCCGAAGTTTTTTTTTGTTTCTGATTGTCTTTTATAATATTTGTGTTCCAAATGCACAATTGGGTAATTTGCGTGTTTTCTTTCGAAGGTCAAATTTTTTGGCAAAAAAATATTTTTGCGCCAGCGGATCTCATTAGTTCAACTTACCAAGACTACCTGTTTTGTTGCCGTAAATCGATTTTTAATCACCTGGCCTCCAAAAACGTAAGTAAAACAAAACGTTTTATTTGACGAATTACCTTTGTAGTTGAATTAATTCATAAAAGATTATTACACTTGCGACGATAAATAACTCCTTCTCTTTTTCTGTAAATAACTTGGCTCACAGGATGAATGAAATTGGTGTTCAAATTCGTACTTCTGTCATTTAACACAATTTTTGAGCGTGTTTACAATTTATATCAGTTTTTTTTTGTTTTGATCTTTTTTTGTCTTTGTTTGTCTTGAAAGGTTTTGGCTGATTTTGATTTGGCTGAGTGGCCTTATTTCGAGTTGTTTGATCAGCAAACATTTTTTAATCAAAAAGCTTAAAAGTTTTGAGGGCTGAACGAACTACTTTCTTTGAGTTTCAAGTGTTTTGTTTTAAAGTTTTTTTTGGTGCGTCTGCTTGACAAGTGTCGGCTTTGTTACCGCGTTGTAAACTTTGATTCAATGTTAATTTAATTATCAATTGTCTTTCGTGGCATGTTCTTCTTTAAATTGATTTTCAGTCATTAAAGTATGGCAAATAATTAATAGAAATTTGTTCTTTCTTTTATGTGAAATTATGATATAATTTTGAGTAGGAAACTTTTAGGTCAAAAGTTTTGATTCTCGATTCTTAACATTGTTCAATTTTACTTATCATTAAGACAAGCTTTTTTCAACTTTTTTTTTCAAATAAACTACGATCATTGACCCAGTACGCCTACTATTCCTAAATGAGATCCATTAGTTCACATGCCCAGTAACTCTACTGTTACTAACTGCTAGTCTGTTTATGATCTGTGCATAACCGTGTTTATTTGATGTATCTGTCGCAGCAGTTGGGCTGATTATAGGATCTGTGACACCTCATTGATATAAAGTGTTGCTTTAATCCTTGAGAACCTATTTTTCCCCGTTGTAATAATCGTTTAATTATTCGAATTTCAATCGAAGTGTATTAAGTCATTATTTGAACTTTATCAATCTACCCCATCTTTAAATGACTTTCAGTGCACCATCCGGCACCCAAATTGTCCTTTAAATGATGGGAAATTTGAAAAAATGAGAATATTGAATATGAGCAAATACTTGATTTTAAGAGAAGTTTATTTGAGACAAAGTAAAACAAAGATACAAAATTTTTTGCTGCGTTCGTCACATTTTCTGTCTATTAGTTTGTCATGTTATGTTTTTGTTGTATCGCAAGTGGTGGGAAACTTCGCTTCTCCTTTGTATTACGCTAGCGAGCAGCTAGTGTTTTTAATACGAACCGTCTTTGTTTCTAACCTAAATCGCAAATAAAAGTGTTCATTAAATATTCACTTTTGTGCCTTTTTTGCCATAATCACAATTTGTAGCATTGGGAATTTCATAGCATCTGTTCTCGTTTTTTTGGCCAGTTTTTTGACGGACAAAGCGCCTGTGGATGAGTGGTTAGGGAGTGAGACTCATAATTTTTATTTAGGTCCAGGGTTGGAGTCACTGACGTCGCCGAGTCTTGCTAGTCCAGGCTTATTTTTACTTTTCCTCATTGCACTTTTTAGAACCCTAGAGCTGCTTTTTGCCGTGTTCTCGCTATTTTTTGCGAAGCGCAGCTTCCCCTCTGTGTCTCAACGTTGCCAATTGATTTGTCCGAAACATTGTTTGCTACTTTTAACCGCTTAGATTAGTCAGCTGGCAGCATTTTTTTTCCAATTTTTTAAATCTAAATCTGAGATAATTAAGCATTTTTTGATTTGAAAATTAAAAGAATAGAGAAATTGGTATACATATTATACAACTTATGATACAATTTATTTTGCAAAATACAACTTATTATGACATATGTTTCTGCTTGTTCTAGCCTCAAAAGTTTTTGAATACGGTGGCAAAAAAGAAGAGTTCAAATAATTTCGGTTTTCAATGAAAACCATAGATTTGAAAAACGTGCTCGTGAAGTAACTGTTGGTACAGTCGGGTCTCGCTTTTGCGAACCCCCGATTTATCGTAAACCTTGATTTTGCGTAATTCTTTCTATGGTCCCAAACTTTTCCCCTTAGTAAAGCCCTGATTTAACGTAGTTTTGATTTAACGTAGATCCTCCAAATTACGTAATTGATGCACTAGAACAAATGCTATGTTGCAATGTACTTAAACCTCCAATTAGCGTAGTACTTCAGTTGGGTTATGTGAAAATCGCATACGGCGGCATGAGTACAGCAAAATGAAAATCACGCTCCGTGGAGTAGAAACATGCTTTAATCAGAGCATACAACGCCGTAAAGACAAATCATAAAGCAATAGCGAAAATTTGGAAACATTTTGATCTGGCTGCATTATCAACTTTGGAAACAGTATTGAAGAAAGAAAATGACATTATCACTTTGTTCGACTGAGCGATAGCAGAAAGAAAACATCTCAAACTCAGCAGTAATCCTCAAATCGATGAAAAATTATATGCATGGTTTTTACGAATTCGAAATTACAACGTAGAATTTATTGATATAACATTATCAAAGGCTGAAGAAATTGCAGAGGAACTGAAAATTCATGAGTTTTCTTCAAGCAAAGAATTCTTAGGCAGTTTTAAAAGCAGGTATGGAATAAAATTTTAAAAAATTGCACTGTCAAGGAGGCGCAGTGCCCATGGAAGATCTGAAAACTTTGAATAACCATGAAAATTCATAACGCAAAATGATGTTGTTCATTGATAATTGCAGTGCACTTCCTTATATGACTCTCGATCGTGTTGAATTGAAATTTTTTCCGCTAAATACAACATCGCGATGTCAACCTATGGACATGGGATTAATCCAAAGTATGAAAAACCTTAATAAAAAGGAAGTTAACAAACGCCAATTTACTAGCTTGGACTGTGGAGAAAAACGTTCAATTTTTTTGTTTTGGTCGCAATGCATATGCTGAAAAAAAAAGTTGTGACAAAGGCGTATCAACTGGTACCGTGAAAAATTGTTTCCGCAAAGCTGGTTTTAGCAGGGGTATCGACGAGGTGCCGGAAATTCTTTTCGATGAAAACACGGTGGATAACATTTTTGACGATGACTGAAGTCTTAGAAATTCTCGAATTCACAGTTCCTACGCTCCGAACTGTGCATCAAAGTATCGAAACATTACGTCAGTATTTTCAAGCAGAGGGTCAACCAGAGGACTTGCACAGGGTAGACAAATTTTACGATACACTTTGTCACCATTTGAACGCGAAGAAGAAATAGTCATCACTGCTAAGCTATTTTGATGTTGACACTTGTGTAACAATCATAGATGATGAATAAAATTCATTAAAAATACTCTTTTTTTTCTTGACCTTGATTTAAGGTAAGCCTCGATTTAGCGTTTATTTTTTCGACCGTCCAAAGAGGTACATTGAATCGAGACTCGACTATATATATATATATATGTTTTTTATGGTTTCCGGTCATCTGTTCAAAATAGGTTACTAGTTTCCCGTCACCACCAGCAATAAGCTATCGAAGTATGCAAAAAGAAAGTTTACATCTGAACAACGGTTTATAAGAGCTAAGTATTTTTGAGTAGCCTTCAGCAAATCTCATTTTATTAACTATCGACGGATTAGAGCGAGCCTAGATAAGAGTTCGAAAAATTTAGCTGGTTTATATACTGGAGGAAAGGAGTTACGCAGCTAAAAAAAATTAAAAACAAAAAATGAAAGAAAGTATTAGTGAACAAAAATAAAATTATTAACTGTTGTTTGTTTTGCACGGGGATTATTATGTACCTGATTTTTTTTGAGATTTTCACATAAAATTGTAAAAAATGATTCAAAACAAAACAACTCTAAAAAAGTTTAAGCTTATCTGAAATATATTGTACTGCAAGAAGGTATGAAGCAGAATACAAAAAACTAAAAGAAATTACACCAAAAGAAATTTTTTCAGCGTCTTCTTGGGTATAAAATTTAAATCAACGCAAAGATTTACTTCACGAACTGCGAAAACTTATTATTTGTTCTACTATTCATTTTTCAAAGAAAACCGTTTTCGGTTTGGCCTAATTTAGTATTACTATCGAATACGCCTAACATCTAGGCTTTCATTTAGCTCTGCTCATCTCACCACGGTCAAAAAATGGCACAATTAAAAAAAAAACTTTTTTTTTCTAAGTTGTTGTTGTCGGCTATTTGTTAAATAGGGGATATAATTGTTGAAATTTCATTTTAAAAAAAAAGAATGAACAACATCTTTTCATCCTATTTCTCTGTATTTTGTAAAATTAGCAACAAAAATGTTCTGGAAGTTGTTTTTTTAAGAACTAAAAAGTTCCATGACACTGTGGATGGTTTTTATTAGAGTGTGAGTAAACTAACTCGGCGTCTGATGAAAAAGTGGGGCATGGAGATGGAGAAAGCGCACAATGTGTACACTGGACAGCTGCTGAGCCAGATGGACTTCTACTTACACACCAGATACGACCAGCAAATGAGTCAGCAATCTCGGGCTGGCAGCACTGCAGGAGGAGGGGGATCCACAGATAACATGGACGAACTAATTCACTCCATCGCAGTTCAAAGAGACGAACTCAAAGTTAGTTCAACAGCCCTTCCAGAGAACATATTGCGTTCATTTCATTAATAATGTAATGTTTCTGGATAAAATAGTTCATGTTCAATTTAAGGGTTGATAATGAACGAAGTGATTTATTATCATTTTAGGTCCTGCAGTTTTTTTTCTTCAGGTGAGCGTTAAAGAATTTATTTTTGCCGAAATTTGAAAGCTGGAAAAAGTACAAAAAAAACAATCATTTCTTTTGATTTCCTTGAGTTGAATGACACTTTTCCAACTGTCTGATGCTATGTTTCAGTTTTATTAGCTTTTCGACTCTTAAAATTATTCGATGTTGAAAAAAATAAAATCACAAGCGGAACATAGTGTTGTATGAAGCTCTTTTGAAGCTCTTTTTTCCAGGTGTCTGAAAACTGCCCCGTAAAATATTTTGAAAACTCAAATTGCCTGTCTAAAACGGATATCCTAGTTCATGTGGAATATCGCGACTTCAACAGTTAACACGGTTGTCATCCGGCCGGATTGGCACAAACTCATGATGTATTTGTATATGTCTGTATATTAGATATTATTACTGGTCGGATGGCCTTGACCGATGCGACTTAGATATATCAGAGAGCATGATCTGTGATCAGAGAGCATGAACTCTCAGAGCAAAAGAATACTTGTTAAATTCAGTTGTTTTTTCTATTATTAGCGAGCCTATCTTGAGTTAGTTTACCTATCTGTGAGGACTAGAATTACTCATACACAGAGGTATGACATGGCACAGCCAGCAGGATATAAAATCCCGTTGATTATCTTGCCGTTCTGGCAAAAAGAATCAGCAGAGCCCTCAGTAGAATGATCCAAGTGGGCAGTCATGATGGAGATGGCTGTTTTTGCCAAAGACGGGTGTTAGAAGTACGAAATTTACTTCGAGAAAAGCCAGCGAATATCGAACCAACAGAGCCAACGTATGAGATAGACATTAAACGTGAAACGGAAGCACAGAAACGTAACCGGGATATCCGCAACCAAGAGAAAAAAATTAACATGGAAAAATAAAGTAATCAAGGCCAGACAAAAAGGAGTTCCGTGCAATGCATTTGCATGGGACGAGGCAGATGCAAAAGTGAGGAGCTACATATTTCTATGTCTCGGGGCCAAAGGCCAACGCGAACTCCTGCAGAACAGACCCGATCTTGACTTACAACCAGTGACAACGAAAGAAATCGTGAAAGCACTAGAAGATATCTTTATTATGACAAGAATTATCGCATTCGAACGTTACAATTTCATTTGCCAAAAGCAAAGAAACAACGAATCATTAGAACAATTTCATGCCGATCTAGTAGAATAAGCATCACGCGACTATTGCGGAGATCGATAAGAAGAGCATGTTTGAGATATGTTTACTGTCCAAATGAAAAATTAGCAGGAGTTTTTTTTAGCTTAAACCAGATCCCCCAAGACGCATACGAGATTGCAATCAGAAGAGAGAAAGGAATATAACACAGTAAAACAATGAAAACAAACCCAATCGGACCATCAAAATCAACAATGATCAAACAAGAACCAATGGCCTACAAACCGCCCCGCTGGCAAGGTTGGTACCAAAACAAACAAAGATGCCGGGGATACTTGAGAAGCAGACAAGTATCCCGAGAGGAAACTAAACTCAAGAGGTAATCAAAACCAGTAAGGAGGTCAGAACCAATTGTGGCGACAATTTGGGCCAAACCATCTACAATCATGCCCCACAAAAGACAAAGCTTACACAAATTGTGCCAAACGAGAACATTTTAACGTTTTGCAAAAGTATGTTAGTCGAGAAATGTTGACTAATGCAGGAAACGAGTAGAAATCAAAGTGGTGAAGAAGAAGAAGGTTTCATCGAGAAGGGAGAAAATTATCGAGTGGCATACGAAAAATTAACATCAACAGACGGCTGGGAAGAGATAATCAATTACAGAAGCAATAATCAAGTACATCTCACCGGAGGACGCGGCTAAAAACCTAGCATTTTGTAACTGCAAATACAATTTTGCAAAAGGACGACTGATCTTTGCAATAGAATCGGGGATTGGTTCATACGGTCAGCCCTGTTCATCATTGTTGATGACCCAAAAGCGAACATTATTGGACGAAACCTTCTGCCACATATCGGCATAAGATTGGTCCAAGACAAAACGAAACAAAGTCAAATTTTCAAAAACAATAAAAAGAAAACAGATCCATTGCAAAAAGACGACTGATCTTTGCAATAGAATCGGGGATTGGTTCATACGGTCACCCCTGTTCATCATTGTTGATGACCCAAAAGCGAACATTATTGGACGAAACCCTCTGCCACATATCGGCATAAGACTGGTCCAAGACAAACCGAAACACAGTCAAATTTCTCAAAAACCAATAAAAAGAAAACAGACCCAGAGATAAAACAATGGGTGAAAAACAATTTTCAACAACTATGCGTAAGAATTGCAAAATCAAAAAGTATCGTACTGTGAATACAATTCACGAAGGATGTCACTCCGATACAAGAAAAAGGAAGGTGCGTACCAGTACACCTAGAGAAATGAGTAGAGAGTAGAGAAGGAATTAGACAAATTGATAGACCAGAAGCATATCATGAGGAATGTTCCTACAAACAATTCATCAATCCAATTGTGATAATGGTAAAAAAAGGATCAAACAGTAAAATTGGCACTTTATTCAAAGAGAGTTAACACTTGCATTCACAGAAAAAACAATACCAGGTGCCTAACATCGAATAACTGCTCAGTAAAACCGCAGAAATTATCAAAATGAAAGACAAGGAACACGAACCTTTTTCTCAACACATGACCTACGATACGCTGATGCACAAATCCCTCTTGATCGAAAAACAAGAAAACAATGCAATTTCAGTCTCGTAGGAGGTAATACAACTGAAGCAACCAAGCGCAAACAGTTTTCTATGGCCTCACAGATCTCACGTTTACAAACTGCAAAAACACATACACATACATAGGCGATATATTAATTGGAACAAAAGAAGAACAAAAGTAACATTAAATAAAGTCCTTAACAAAGCAGATATAGAAAACCTGGCAATATCACTGGACAAGTTTTATTTTGCATGTAGGCTGGTAGAATGGCTTGGCTACATTATGAATAGCGAGGAGACAAGGCCATTAATCTGAAAAACAGAAGTAAAAAAAACACCACCTAAAACATTCAAACAACCAAAGAGTTTGTGGGTTCAATACACCACCGCACGAGATACATGCCAAACTTAGCATGAACATCGTCAGCATTAGGGCCACTGCTTATAAAACACAGACAAACTCATAACGTTTTTTTTGGAAAGCAGAACATACAACCGCATTTCAACAAGTGTTAAAATTAGTATCTAAAATGACCGAAAACAAAGATTTCAACCAAAACCTAGAGACCCGTGTGGTCTGCGATGCATCGACATTTAGTGTAGGAGCAGAGCTAGAGCAACTCACAAAAAAGGGGTGGGTAGCAATTGCTTACGCCTCGAGGTTATTAGTTTCACTAAAAGAAAAGTATTAGTAAATGAACTAGAATCGCTAGGGGTCGTGTGGGCAATCGAACACTTTAAATATTACATAAACGGGAAAAATTTTACAGAGCACGGGGCTTAATCAGCGCACAAAGCGGAAGTGAAAGATCAAAAACCAGCCAAAACAGGCTCACTGGGTGGAATGATAGACCAATCTCATTCAATTTTGACATCAAACATTTGGCGGGAACAAAATGGGATTAATTGACTATATGTAGAAAAATCTGGTAGGATTAGCATTACCCCCTCAACTAGTATGATAAGAAATTTGTTGTGTCATCAATTAACTCGTTTTTTTTAACCTCATTCTCAACAAGTTGGCCGATCAAAAACGAGCACCAAATCAACTGATCAGAAAGCGCCCGGAAAATGCAAGAAAACTAACAAGACCATTGAAATCTCCAGTTTACTTGAAACATTCCAGGCAAACCGAAAGCGGTCATTCAGAACTAAATACACACAATCGGTCGATAAAATATCCACTCGGAAATATGAGGACCACAAAATTTACTACAAAAATCAAACCAAAAATCATAAATCTGATAAATCTGAGGAAGGAGCAAAAATGAGACGGAGCAATGACTACAAGGGATTCAAAGGCGGTTTCATATTGGACAGTGCCAGAGCGAGAGGTGGAGGAATTAACAACAAACAGCCCTAAACACTGCGAGGTAGAAATACCGAAATCATTTGGAGAGGTGAATCGGATAGAGAGGATAGCTTATCCGATCCAAGATAACACCGCAGAACGACAACGTATGAACTTTGGACGTCGTTCACCAAAAAGTAACATCGAATAGGCAGAGCAGTCTACAACCTGAAGTACACGGCACTTGGGGATCATAAAGACAATTCCTAGACATTTTCTTCACTGACAAACCTACCAGCTCCAAAGATGGACAAAATGAAAAGAGAAAATCAACCGAAGAAGCTCACTGGGATACAACGACGAAAAAACTGAAAAACCCAAGAAACCAAAATCAACAATGTCACAAACACAAACGGAGTGAAGAGAGTCGCAAGATCAGGCAACAGAATTCAAGAGCCAGCACAAAGTCGAGGCCCATACGGAATTGACAGTCGAAGTCATTGAGCAATACGAGTATTGCGTAATCAGGGTGGACCCTGCATACCACCATGAAGAGAATATGACCCCAGTGAAGATTGGACCGACGATGACTGCCATATACGGAGTAAACAATCTAGGCCAAAAACTTGAAGCCAGCCACGAATTGTTACTGGCAAACGTTATGGTCACGGTGGATCGCGTGAATTATACAGAGGCAGAAGAGGATACAACGCTATGCAGAGAAAACTTACAGAAAGTGATGGGAGTCAGCTTTATAGCCGCAGCCACCCGAAAAGATCGGAATATCAAACGGATCGTGAATTTCGTCAGAAAGAGAGACTGCATCCTGATAGACGAGCGAATCATAATACCTCAACTGCGACACACAATCCCCGACAGCTTGCATTTGACACACCGCGGAGCTGCCAGGATGTTAGATCTGTGTGAACATATCTGGTTTCCCCATATACAACGGACCATCGTACAAATGGCTCAAAACTGGCGACACGGCACAAAAAAATGTAAAAATTTGAAACCAGCATTAGGGAAAACACAACCATTCCAGATGGATCCGGTTGTGTCATCAATTAACTCGTTTTTTTAACCTCATTCTCAACAAGTTGGCCGATCAAAAACGAGCACCAAATCAACTGATCAGAAAGCGCCCGGAAAATGCAAGAAAACTAACAAGACCATTGAAATCTCCAGTTTACTTGAAACATTCCAGGCAAACCGAAAGCGGTCATTCAGAACTAAATACACACAATCAGTCGACAAAATATCCACTCGGAAATATGAGGACCACAAAATTTACTACAAAAATCAAACCAAAAATAATAAATCTGAGGAAGGAGCAAAAATGAGACGGAGCAATGACTACAAGGGATTCAAAGGCGGTTTCATATTGGACAGTGCCAGAGCGAGAGGTGTAGGAATTAACAACAAACACCCCTAAACACTGCGAGGTAGAAATACCGAAATCATTTGGAGAGGTGAATCGGATAGAGAGGATAGCTTATCCGATCCAAGATAACACCGCAGAACGACAACGTATGAATGTTGGACGTCGTTCACCAAACAGTAACAGCGAATAGTCAGAGCAGTCTACAACCTGAAGTACACGGCACTTGGGGATCATAAAGACAATTCCTAGACATTTTCTTCACTGACAAACCTACCAGCTCCAAAGATGGACAAAATGAAAAGAGAAAATCAACCGAAGAAGCTCACTGGGATACAACGACGAAAAAACTGAAAAACCCAAGAAACCAAAATCAACAATGTCACAAACACAAACGGAGTGAAGAGAGTCGCAAGATCAGGCAACAGAATTCAAGAGCCAGCACAAGGTCGAGGCCCATACGGAATTGACAGTCGAAGTCATTGAGCAATACGAGTATTGCGTAATCAGGGTGGACCCTGCATACCACCATGAAGAGAATATGACCCCAGTGAAGATTGGACCGACGATGACTGCCCTATACGGAGTAAACAATCTAGGCCAAAAACTTGAAGCCAGCCACGAATTGTTACTGGCAAACGTTATGGTCACGGTGGATCGCGTGAATTATACAGAGGCGGAAGAGGATACAACGGTATGCAGAGAAAACTTACAGAAAGTGATGGGAGTCAGCTTTATAGCCGCAGCCACCCGAAAAGATCGGAATATCAAACGGATCGTGAATTTCGTCAGAAAGAGAGACTGCATCCTGATAGACGAGCGAATCATAATACCTCAACTGCGACACACAATCCCCGACAGCTTGCATTTGACACACCGCGGAGCTGCCACGATGTTAGATCTGTGTGAACATATCTGGTTTCCCCATATACAACGGACCATCGTACAAATGGCTCAAAACTGGCGACACGGCACAAAAAAATGTAAAAATTTGAAACCAGCATTAGGGAAAACACAACCATTCCAGATGGATCCGGTAGTAGAATCCAACGAGAAGTCACAGTTAGATTTTGCTGGGCCTTTGCCAGATGAATTGAATAGGGACGCATACATTTTAGTTGCCGTGGACGAATGATCAGAATTCCCGACGGCAAAAGTTGTATCAAACAAAACCGCAGGTAAGTCATTAGTTATATTTCGTAGACGATACATAAAACTTTTACTCGCACCCGTAGACGATCGCAGATCCATAGGTGTAGACAAAAGCATGATACAAAATTTGAAACGCTACTTTGGAGAAATGTGAAAAGACAAAAATAACACACCATTTATCCTTGCATCAGATGTCACTGAAGTTATAAAAACGTTGAGAAAAACTCCACGCGGAGTCACAAAAATAACCCCATTCGAAGTCAACCTGGTGAGAAAACCAAGCACACCTTAGCAACGACTAGTTCATCGAACAACCTAAATCTGAAAACGCCAAACAGGCGTGCTTAGATTGGAAAAAGTTGATGCACCCCCCACTACCACCGGAGGTAATGCTTGACTTGCAATGAAGGCCGGAGAACGACGTGACTATAACAAGCATACCAGTAAAACGGATCCCAGAACCGATCAACGCGACTTAAAAGGAGGAAGATCAACCGACAACGCAAGCTCATAGTGAAGCAGATGTGAGAACTAGACATACACTAGCTAATGAGAAGGAAGCGTTAAACTTAAGATACAATAGAACACATGTGGACAAAAACATTAAGAAACATATTCAACAGGTAGTTCGGAAAACCGGTGAGAATCGTCACGAAAGTGAATACCCAAAAAAAATCGAACCAAAATGCAAAACAATAAAATGAAAAGTCTTAACGCACGCGCAACTCACAGCTTGGGTTCAAACACTAGGTAAACAAACCAAACTATTCAAGAACAGCGGATTCGTATTGGTACCTAACCCAAAAATCTACGTACCCTGCAAACCCTCAGGTCTAAGTGACAACGTGCTTACATTCCGCAAGAGGAACGGGCCCATGTTTACGTTTTTTAGACATAACGCAACCCAACGCGCAACAACAACCGATGTTTCAGGAAGATGAGAAAAACGGGAATTACAAAGAAACTAACCCACAAGGAACAACAAGCTCAAAAAGAGCCGCAAACAGAAAGGAAGAGCCAAAAGAAACGAAAAGTCAAATCACTCCAAACTGGATAGGGACCTGGGCAAAACCAACACCCAGACTCGCAAAAAGCATGATGTTCAAACCAGACGGTAGCATTAAACAATCATAGGCGAAAATTACGGTAGGGCAAACAATTTGATCAACAACGTCAGAAAACACGGCACCATTCCCAAAACGAATCGACATCAGAAAGACACCAACCCAAGTGACTATAAGATCAACGAAAAAATCGACACGAACAAGACCACCCATCCGCAGTGGCGAAAACACTAGGGTGTCCAGTACCGATTAACACGATTGACACGCTAAAAAATGTCTATAGCTTTCACCGGAATAACAACAACCATTACAGCAAGCCAATAACTCAAACTACAGAAGCCTGATCTACAAAATGGGCTTGAACGAAAAATTGATTGCCTGAGTGAAATTTCTAGACGTGAACCAACCGAGAAAGCCGAACCAAAGTGTCAATGTGGTTGATGTGGCAACTCAAACAGAAAGCCCCAAAGGGGAAGGAAGTATTTTGTATCGCGGAAGCAAACAGCAAGGAGGACAAGAATCAAGACGACGGAATTTCAACAGAGGAACATGAAAGGCAACAAGAAAAGGAAGATGCAGGGAAAGAGAAGCTGCAGAAGTGTGAGAAGAAAGAAGGCGAAAAAAACTGTAGAGAGAGAACAGACTTAAAACTCAAAGATCGTCCCACATTATAAACTCATTAACGGTCCTCAACATTTATAAGGGAAGAGAGGGGAATGTCATCCGGCCGATTTGACTCAAACTGATGATGTCTTTATATGTATGTATATTAGATTTATATTGGTCTGATGGGCTTGACCGATACGCGTAAGACGTATCAGAGAGCATGAACTCTCAGTGCAAAAGAATACACATTAAGATTCAGTTGTTTTCTTATCATCATCGAGCCTTTCTTGAAGTGTTTAGCAATCCGTTCTGATTCTAGATTATTTTATACACAGAGATATGACAACGGTAATCGAAAATACTTCAAATATGATCAAGGATCCGAGGATTGGATTTGTCCGATTTCTATTGAACTTTTCGTTATAATGAAATAGAAATTATCAGATTTTTTAAGCTTGTTTGAGCCGACATTTTTTGTTTTTATCCCAGCCATATGATTTTTTGTTAATTTTTCTTAATTCAACGTCGTTTATTTGGGTTTCCTATTGGTTGAAAAAACGCGAAATAGGATAATAACTGTTTAAAAAGTATTAATATTTTGGATTCAAGTTATTAGAAAATTGTACCCATAAACTGTAGAACAGAATATAACAACCTGTTGCTACAATAACAATAACGCAGAATTGTTTACGAAGATTAAGAAAGATATAATACGAAGATTAAGAAGTCTGGGCGGTGCTGTGAATTACAGTTTTTTGGTGTTAACTTTTGATTCTATTTTTGACATTCTGGTTCGTTGATGATTGAATCAAAATACCCTTCTTGAATTTTTCTAGGTCGAATTAGTGCGAAAGTGTCTGCACTATAACGACAGAAACATGGCCCTGACTTGGTTCCACTACTACGACCTTAAACTAATTGACCTTGAAGAAGACATCAAACCCGTGATTGAAGAGTACCTTAAAACTGGAGTTTACAAAATCCAGAAGCTGCCTTTCAGCGATCAAAAATTGGACCCCAGCCTCGGATCAATTGAATGCAGCGAAACAAATCCAAGTTTCGAATCTTTCGGAGGCTTGAACCCGGAAGTCAAGCCAGGGATTTACTACACATTAAGGATTACGGAATCAAATATTGTAATTGTAGATGATTTCAACATGTTCATGCGCGCTGCTGATTCTATTGTCAAGAAAAAGATTGTAAGAATGGTAGGACTTGACTGTGAGTGGAAACCTGGGTTCGAGAAAACGGCGAACCAGGTTGCTCTTTTACAACTCGCAACTTCTGATTTTGTGTACTTATTCGACTTAACAGTCATCGAATCTAAAATTGATCCTTGTGTTCTGAAGTGGTTTTTCAAACATCTTTTTACCTCAAGAAGAATTACAAAACTTGGATTTGGTTTTGGTAGTGACTTGAATGCTCTCGCGAGTTACTCGTTTTTCTCAGAGTGTTTGCAAGATGCGTATATTCGAAATTTAGTCGACATTTGTGATCTGGTACAGAAGGTGGAGACGTCATATCCTTCATTTTTCCCCTATTCTGCGGCTGATCTACCGATTGATCACAGACAAGAAAAAGGTCTAAGTTTGACAGTGTTCAAATGTTTTGGAAAGATTTTAAATAAAACCGAACAATTGAGTAACTGGGAACGAAGACCTCTAAGAGACGCACAGATACTGTACGCAGCATTAGACGCTGCTTGTCTTATAGATATCTACAGTTTCATTACGAGCAGATTGAATGAGTTGGAGACCAAAAGTGTCGCGTCGTTGCAGAGTGAACATGTTTCAACTGATGTCAAGGAGTCGAACTTGAACAGTAAGTGTAAAATCTTACAGAAGCTCCCCAAAAGTTTTAACTGAAACTCAATTTCATCACGAGGCCAAACTGCGCACTGGATAGACGCACAATTTTGTGTCTGTATACTCTTGGATTCCAGAGACAAATCTTTAAACGTGTTTCAAAATGTAAGTGGATTATGGAACATGTTTAAAGATTATGTTTAAAGATTATTATGCACTTACATTCCAAAATGTAAGTGCATAAAAACCATTGAATATTTTTGCAATGGCATTGGAAGAGAAAATCACTATTTTATCATATTCTGTCATCTTTTAAAATTGTTTCACAACAAAATAAGCGATTAAACCGCATTGGAACGTAAAGTTCTGTGAGGAAAACGCATTTTTCTGGTGATACTAATGTAACTAACAATACATTACATGATAATTTACTCTAGTTGTCAAATATCGCTTTTGTTCGTAAACTTCAAAATTGGTGCATCTCAACAAATTTTTATCTTTCCGATTTAATGGAATGCACCTATTCAAGTATTAGTTATGTGCAATTGATAGTTTTCTCGCGTGATGTTCATTTTTAGTTTATTTTCTGCAAAAAAAATGGGCTCTTAAGCCGTCTCTGCGGCTTGAAAACCTTACGTGGAGTTGTTCACTGGTTACTGCAGCATGGAACTAGCTTAATGTCTACTGAACTTTCATCCCCTATCAATTCTAAACATGTAACGGGGCTCTAGGGGGAAGTTTTTGACTCTAAACGAACTCGTATGTGCTATCAGTTTTCAGAATTTTACTTCTCAAAAATTAGCGTTCGATAGTAACTCATTAATTTTCCTGCGCTCGAATAAAACGTTAACAATTGCAAATAGAATGGATTCTTAATAGTTCAAAGATTTTGTTACGCCGCAGCTGCCGACTCTTGACTTACGCTGAGAGGCTTACCTACAATTGACCTGAACGAATTTTTTCCAGTTCAGTTCTAAGTGAGGATTTGCTTTAACATTTTTATCACATTATTACCTTTGCGACAGCTTAATCAAGAACTAGACTTTTCCCGTAAACAATTTTTTCCAAATCTGTCAGAAATAGAAGTTGCTTTTCTGTATAATGAATCTTAGCAACTTCTGGACTCACAACTTCTTGACTCCGTCGCACTTGGTCTAGAGATAAAGCGGTTGCTTTTGCACCTTTAAGTCTGTGGTTTTAGTCCCGGCCAGACCTTGTTTTTTCAGGATGTATGAAATTAAGGGAAAAAAACGTTCGTGAAAAACTGATTTGTCGGGCTTTTGTCTGTTTGCTTATATTTTGTCGACTTAGTTATCACCTCACGAATTTTTCTTGTACTGTAAGCAGTTTTCATTGCAGTTGCAATTGTTGTTGATTTACTTCTAGACTTTGTATATTTACTAATGCTGACTTAATTTATTTTCTTTTTTTGCTCAAAAGTTTTATTCGGTCTGAGTAAATTAGGCCTTTTTTATCGGATTAGTCAACTTTTCATGTGTTTTTAGACAGAAAAAATTGATTGTGGCGTACGTTGGTGTGTATAAGGTCAAAGGTTTGAAACTTGATCACTCAAAAAAATTTTATGACAGCAATTTCTTTGGCATTTTTTCGGCTCAATGGGCGTGCACCCACGTATTGTTCGCTTAGTGGCCGCTCTGTAGGTACTAAAAGCCCTTTTCAAACTGTCGGTTGTGTTTTTCGGCTGTTTTACGGAAATTGAGTTTTCAGTTTTAACTATAGGTTTTTACCAACGTATTTAAATACGTTTTCTTACGAGCATGCAATGCTATCCTTGCGTGATATCGCATGTGTTGTATTTTGTGTAGTTTGAAGTCAAAAAAATATTGTGGTATAGTAGGTGATGTAATATGGTCAAAGTTTTAAAACTTGATCGCTCAAAATTTTGTGACATCAATTTGTTGGGCATTTCTTTTTGTTTACGGCTCAAAGGGCGTCGACCCGGGCGTTGTTGTCTTATTGCCCGCTCGGTAAATACTAGAAGCTTATTTAAAACAGTGTGTAGGTTGTGTTTTCCGACTGTTATGCTGAAATTGAATTTTTCATTTTTCCTAAAAAATTTTCAATTTCAACTACGGTTTTTTTTCGACTAAGTTATTTACGTCTTTTTCTATTCTCTAGCATGAAATGTCACGTTTGCGTGGTATTGCAAGCGTTGTCTTATGTGTAGTTTGAAGGGAAAATTATCGTGGTATATCAGATTGTCATGTAATACGGTCAAAGTTTCAAAACTTCATCGCTCAATATTTTTTGCAATTTCGTAGGCATTTTTTAAGGCTCAATGGGCGTCCATCTGGGTTTTGTTGGTTAATGGCCGCTCTGTAAATACTAAATGCTTATTTAAAACTGTTTGTTGGTTGCGTTTCTTGACTTTTGTTGGTTGCGTTTCTCGAGTTATTAACGTTTTTTCTTTCTATTCGCTAGCTTGAAATGCTGTATCCCAATTGATTCGGAGCTCCCCTATACCTCTGTGTACAATTTTTTCATAGGTGTTTCGTGTGTCCTCTTGAGCGGCAACATTCTGCTGCTCTAATTCTTGTCCTGAGTTTCAAAATACTGTAATCACAATGATTTTAATCTGATTTGAAAATTATCAGTTAATTAGTTTAATTAATTTTGTTATTCCTCGTATTCTCAGGTGAGCTCTTAGTTTTTGGGCTCAAAATAAATTGTCCCTAGCGATGAAGTAGAAGTGACATGAAAATAGGCAGAAATGAGTCCTCCAATAATTCTTTACAATAAATCTCAAAGTTTGCGATGATTATAGCCTGTTACTGAATAAAATTCAAGGCAAAAGGCTAATACGCTTGCATTCGTATTTTTTAATTTTTGAAGATTTGTCAGTGGGTTTCGCAGGCAATTGTTAATCACCTGTCTCCACCGAAAATACAGTGCTGATTTTTAAAAGATCAGCATAAAATTTAAACGCGTTTTTTTATCAAGTTGGGTTGACTCTAGGTGAACAATGATGAAGACGAAACTTGCTTAGAATTGAAATTTAAAACGCGTTTAAAACGCATAAAAATTGAAATTTAGAACGCGATCAAGTTGGTTGACTCTAGGTGAACAATGTTGAAGACGAAACTTGCTTAGAATTTCAGCAGAATTAGGTTATTACCCGCTTCGAAAATTTTGTTTGCTGATAAAAAAAGGCTCACTTTGATATGTTTTTTTTTTGCTCAGCAATTGAACCAATAGTTTTGACGCAATTTTTGATTGACAAAAATGCAGATAATAATCGTTCTTGTGGTTAAATTTTGAACACGAATTATGCAAAATAGATTGCGCCATGTAAATTCTGCTAAAGTCCAGCAACAAAATACATCTGTGTCCAAAATCCATCTTCTGTTGTGTGGAACTCGGCCTTATGCGTTTGTCGCTGGATTCCAGAACAACAAATCTTCGATCACACTTTTGTATAGTGAACTTTTTTTTTGAGTTCCAGCAACAAAAATTACTATCTCATGTAAACTATGTGTCTGTGGAATTCAGACGCGAGCGAGAACAAATCGGTGAGCAGCCGTGGCTGATTGGCTAAGACGTGCGGCATTTAAAACAAAGTTGAGTTTAAATCCCTTTTCGGTATCGGTGAGAGGGGTTTCAGTGTAATCCGCCTCAAGGTGGGAACAACTATGGCAACATCGATGACATCTTTCTTCCGCTTGGAACAAGGCCCAATGTTGAACACTGGAAGTAGGACCGGGGGCTAATCAATTTTTTTTAAATTCTTTATTTTATAAAACCGAGTTTGGCGTTGAATAGTTTCCATTTACTCAATGGAAAACTAAACTATTCGATGACAGAAAGCCAATGGCGCAAATAACCGTCTTCATCTTTCAGTTTTTACAAATGGAGTTGAATTTTTGCAATCCCAGCTGAATAAAACATTACCGATGGATCCAATTTTTCAAATTGGTGTCTGCGCTATCAAAAACGTCTAGTATCATTGAGCGAGTCTTGAAATTAAAAGAACTTTGAGGTGCTACGTTATTTTTGTTATGATGCTTCAAAAGGTCATAAATTGTTTCAGTGTTTTTGACTTAGTTCTCTTTTCCAACTTTTCTCTTTTCGCCTTGTTCGTTGGTATTTTGGTCACCCAATCACTCACTAAGTGTTAGTTATTTTTATTACTATTACTTCACTTTGTCTTTTTTACAGGAACCCCCAATGATGACTTGGCTGCGGTCTCCTCGACTCGTGATGTCGACCAGCACGTAGTTTCGTCAGCCACAACAGGCAGTAGACGCCGTGCGATTGTCAACATGTTCGGGGAGCCAGTGGCGGTGATTAAACGGCGCTCAGGAGAAAAATTGGAGGTTGGGGATCTGAAGTTTGTAGTGGACGGGATGTTAGAGGGCATTGTGAAGTACCTCAGGATGTGGGGTATAGATTGCATCACTGCCTCGCCCGTAAACGATCCCCAGGAAGCGGTGAGTTTGTTTGCTTGGTTCGATCTCAAATGCTGATGATGCTCTCTCAAAGTTTTGATCATTGGTGATTTAATTGTTCACCGGCCAATCTTGAACCTTAATTTATACTCTTGCTCTTTGCGTGCAATTTAAAAGTGCCATTGTTATATGGATAATCTGAGCCGGCATATATGCTGTCCTATAGCAAAAACACAAATCGCCAGAAAATCGGATTAATTTTTAAAAGGATTTTAATTTTGAGATTTCACCGCGGAATGTAACTCGTTTTTGAGTCAATGAACGCGGTGAATACTCTTATTTAGGTCGTGTATGTGTGTTTATTTCGTTGAGCTTGCCAATAGTCTACACTTTGATATGAATTTGAAAACTAATCCGACCGGCATGATTCGAATTAGTAACCGAAACGAAAGTTTTTATCAAAAATGAACATGATCTTGAAAATGTTGTTGCCAATATCAGATTTGAAGTAAACTTTTCTATTTTTTTGAAACGCGAGGTTTGTCAATTTTTTTTAATTGTCGGCATACAACGCAATTTCTAACGAATTTTCCAGTCCCCAGCTCTTGTCCCACCAAAGGAGCGATTGCTCTGGGATTAAATTACTGAAGAGCGATTACTGAGACAGCCTTTCTGAAATTTGAGTCAAACAGTGTTTTTTCACGTCTCCGGTATGCTGCAAGAAGTTTTTTTCTCAAAAAGTTTGAGTAACTAAATTTTAATTCAAAATTATAAAAAAGGGTAGAAACCTTGAAAATGTTGTTGCCAATAACAGACTACTTAGCTAAATTTAAATGAAACTTGGAATGGAAACTGGCTGTGATCACCACTTTGATTTTTAAAAGCTTTATTCAATTACTGATCATTTGAAGTAAAACTCATCTACATTTCGAACCCTGCGAAGTCGGTCATTTTTTTTAAATTGTCTTCATACAACGCAATGTCCAAAGGTTTCCCCAGTCCCAAGCTAGCGTCTTGCCAAAAGAGCGATCGTTCTGGGATCAAAGTGCTAGAGACAGCGTTTTTCACATGCGAGTCAAGACAGTGTGTTTTTTCACTTCTCCGGGAGGCTGGAAGAAGACGTCTTTTCTCAAACAGTTTGGGTAATTGAATTTAACTTCAAAAATGTGTAAAAGAATGAAAGAAGAATTAGTTAGCTTAAGTTCGCCATAGCGGCAAAGAAATGCAAGTTAGTTGTTTCTTCGTAAGCATGCATAATATTTGGCATTTTTGGTCTAAGACCCGGTACTTTTCTTTGCGAGTTTGCAATTTCCTTCCATATATTGGGATGGGGTCTACTGGAAATTGGCTGTATGCCATAATGCCACTCCTTGACAGCTTTTGTTGTTCTGGCATGATCGGATGATGCCGCATCCCTTTGATTCCACAGTGAAGAGGTTAATAGGAGTTCGCGATTCCGGGGCATCTTTTTTAAAAGTAATTTGATGCAAAATAAAGGGTAGCTCAACAATTTTCGCAATTTTTGGACTCTTTTATGGTGCGATCGCATACTATTTGATTTTCCTTGGCTATTTAATCGTATGAGTTTCCCACTTTTTCTTTTTCAAAAGCCAGTGAGGGTAAGATGCTAACTGCAAAAGCGAACTTGTGATTTGTTTCGTAATTGTTTAATCCGAGTTCCGCGATTTTTCTCATATAATTTTGTGAAAGATAGAAAAAAGATCCAGAAAGCTTGGATTCTGGGAATTCTTTTTCCGAGACGCTCGACTAGCGGCCTGCTGAAAATCAAGCCAATTTTTTTCAATACTACTATCAGGGGCTACTAATTTTAAGGCATCGAAGAAATATGTTACGTTTTCTCCGGTTTATTTGGTAGTAAGGCATATATGCAAGCGGAGGCTGCATATTTATAGACTTTAATTGATGAAAATTGTTTGGCGTGAATTTGAAAGTTCCGCCACTTAACCAAAGTTTAGATTTTTGTAGGACACGTTGATTTTCAGGGTCGCGAACAAAATAGTCCTCTCGTGATCGTTTTGTTCACTGTTGAATCTTCTAAAGTTTTTGAACAGCTCGGGTATTTCGAATTTTCTGGTTGCTGTGGAGACGATGAAACCTTTCCCGCTGCTGGCGCACTCGTTGTTCAGTTTGAACTGAGTTGTACAGTTTCTTTAGTTGGTAGGGCCTATCGCTCAGATCCTTGATGTTTTTCAAAATTAGCCGAGCATCCGATTTTCCCGTAAAAAAAGTCATGCTCATGTTCTCCCCTCGTTTCAACAAAATTTTCTTCATCTGTAATTGCTGTTGCTCTGCATTTATTTGTTTCGTGTTTCGAGCAGTTTCAGTTTGTAGTTGTTTTGTTTGTTTTGTTTTTGTGTATAAGATAGTACTCGTGGCCTGATACCACTGGTTTTTTTTGTCTCTCTAACATAAGGCAAAATGAACAGACGTTGCAAACAATATAGTGCATTTTTCATAATAGTGGTTGAAGAGTAAGGAAGTTTGATTTTTTTTTTAAAACTCACAAACGTCTTTTTTGCCTTCCTATTAGCACCATGCAGCTTTTTTAAACGCGTAAATGAGGGATTATTTCTTTAACTTATCCAAATGCATTTATTGTGACTAAATGCATCAAGTGAATCATAAATGATTTCTCTGGCCTCAATTTACCCACTTAATTGGAAAACTATTATGGTTATAAAAAGACTTAATTTGAAACAATTTATCGGTTTCGAAAGTGGGTGAAATAGTTGTGGATTTGCCTTTTTGTGGGGTTGTAAAGTAGGGGGTGTAAACATAGGGTGTTGAATAACGAGGAAGTGAATAAGGGGACACCCATTTTTGGCTATCGAATGAAATTAAAGTCATTTAAACTAAATTGACAAGATTATAAATAAGATGCGCAATTTGATATATTTTTGTCAGCAACCGAACTGGTAGTTTTGGCGTAATTTCTCACTGACTAGCAGAGCCGAAAATGATCCTTTTTAGGGTAAAACGTAGGGCCTGAGAATTAAAATTATTTTGCACCTGTTTTAATTCTGAAAATTTAGTTTGTCTCCATATTTTTCTCATTTTGTCCAAAATTAACTCACATTGGGAAAAACCCGTTTTAATTTTCAAGTTTTGTTTGTTTAGACGAATAATTTAAATCAGCGCTAAACATCTGTACGCTTAGTACTATGTGAGTGTGCGTGTAAGTTTTGAAGTATGTATGTTTTGGAAAGAAGCAAGCAAAAACTTCAGCATCAAAGTTTTTTTTTCCGATCAGAGAAGGCGAGAATGAACTTTGTATTATAGCGTGTTCTTATGCAAAATCATTCATGAGAGCTGTAAAAAGTCGAGTTATAGGAGTGGAATTCGAAAACAACCCATTCACTCGTGGTTCGAGAGCAATGAAATAGTTTTTCAAACCTTTTTTTATTGTTTAGAAAGCACGGTTTCAAGTGTTAGTTTCTTAGTCTTATATTCAGCAATGTTTTAAATAAAGCTATGTAAAAGTTTGGCAAATTTAGTTTTTTTGAAATATTTTTGGAAGGGTCAAGTCCACTCAGCCTAAAAAAACATTTATGAAAACCAGAAAAAGAAATGTTTAATGAATGTTTTTTTTTGGCAACGGTGACTAGTCGGATTTTTCTGTGGCACTTGATTAGCCTTGGGCCAGTCTTTACAAAGCTTTCAATCTCTTTTATCATCGTGAGTAATTGAATTCGAGATTTTTTATGATTCGGTGTATTCCTTAAATTGTGATTCCAGTGATTGTTTTCAGCTTGATGTAGCGATGAAGGAAAAGAGAGTTCTTCTGACAGCTGGCAAGAACTACCACATGGCTGCCAAACAGATAGGAGTGGAACAGGTGCTGGAGGTCAGCACTCTGGTCAAGGCCATTGACCAGGCCAAATACGTGTTCAGACACTTCGGCATGTCCCTAGACAAGTCGCTACTCTTTCTACGCTGTAGTTTATGCAACGGAGATGATTACATCACAACGCCAGCCCCTGTAGTACGTGTAGCAGTAGTGTTCATTTTAATCTCCAAACTTCTTTTCCTTGCCATTCTAATTTCAAAATTTTAAAAGCAAATGAACGTCGAATTTAAATTTCGGTTGGGTCATAATGTGCTTGTGGTTAAACGAACTAACTATTTTTGAATGTATGGCAATTATGATAATTTTCAACTGGTGTTTAACGTAAAATAGACACAGAAGACCCTTATCCGTGTGATCACAGGCGGATCTAGATTTTCTGCGATGTTTGACTTTTCGATGTGTGGGTACGTGGGCGATGTGTGGGTGTGTCAGTTTTTAGCCCGTTTTTGAAAGATTTTTTGGCGCTATCGACTGAAAATTGCTATAGAGGAGCACCACGGCGGCACCCTTAGGAAAAATTTCGTGTTGGCCGGTCAAAAAGGTTACCTTAGGGTGGACCTTTCGGGTGGTGAGGGAAGTCGAATTCCTGAAAAGATGCTTCCAATTTCCCCTGCAAGACCCTCCTCCCTGGATGCGATGACTTGTTAAATTTCAAAAAAATGATTTTCTATTCCATTTTAAGTTAAAGTTATTGTTGAAAGTTTTATTTGAGATTTGAAATTTGTTTCGAAAAGTTTGTATAGTGAAAAAAAAAGATAGTTTTTGTATTTCAAATACAATTACAGAAAGTAGGTTTTGAGTGATTAATTCTAGGTTCGTGCGCTTGTATCAATTCTGGATGGAAAGCACTGCAACTGGAAGAAACTGGCCGGCCACGAGCTCTTCTTCTCAGACCACTTCGACCCCGAGACAGCTGCCATTCTCAAGTCGGGTAAGATAGAACACATTGAGAGTTTTTATCATTATTGTGATTATAATAATTATTTCGAATATCTTAAAGTCGGCTGAAATTGCAAAATCATTCGTAAAAGTCCCGATTTTTTTTTTATTATCTAATGGAAAAATGCTTATAGAATCTCATAAAGCTGGATTTCGGCATTTGATGGATATTTCCAGATATCAGATATTTTTGTTTTGAGTAATTAAATACCTATACTACCCTTTCACAACGCGATCTTTGCTTAGCAGTTGTCAGAGTTTCAGCAAACAGCACTATTTCAGATCTATCAACAATATTTGGAAGATCATTTAGGTTTAAAAAAAATGAAAAATGGTCCTGTAGACTGATCCTTGAGGGTCTCCGCATGCCAAGGAACACAATGACGACATTTTTTTAAATCGGTTTTAGCAAATGATATCTGTTTTTAAAGTATGTTGTACGAAGAGGATGAGCACGACCTCTGTAGCCATATTTTTCTAAATTTGTCACTAGTACATCATGATTGGTGAAATCAAATTCTTTTTTTAGACCAACAAAGCAAAATTCACCAAATAGTTTTTTTTGTCCCTCCCATCTCTTATGTTTTCACTGAATTCAATCAAAGCTTCCACACTAGTTTAGTTGATTGACTTTTTTTGGTCGAAATCCGAACTTTTGTGCGAGTAATTGTTTGTGTATTTTAAAAGAATTTAATATATTATTTGGTCTATAATTCTATAGTAATTTTTTTGCACTTTTGACAATAGGCTTGACTTTTGCCTCTTCTAAGAAAATATACACTGAACCTTTGCAAACCTTTGCAAATACACTGATTAAAAGGCTGCAAGTTTTTTTTGAAATAGCTGGCATAGAAAGTTTCAAATTTTTTTGATTTTGCCATCATGACCAACTTATCCACCTTTTTCAAAGATATCTCAGTAAAAAAAAAAACATTTTATTTTTCTCCTCTATCTTAAATTTTTACAGCTTTTTTGTGATCAAGTGAGGAAATTTGCAATTTTTCTTCTATTGAAACAAAATTTTCATTAAAAGCTTCATCATCGAAAACATTCAATATTTTCGGTTTTGTTTTGCAGAACTAATCAAAAGCTTGGATTTGGAACAGTGTTTTAGAGTCTTAAACCTTTTCAGTTTTTTAAAATCGAAATATTTCCCTTTTATTTTCTGACTACCTTTTTTATATAGTTTTTAGCCTTTGAATGTTCTGATTTATTTGCTTCGTTGAATTAGTTTGCGTAATTTTTTGTTGTTTTTCCATTTTGATCAGAGTGCGTTTTACTAAGTAGACGGTCATCATTTAGACAATGACTAGTTAAATCAATCATAATTGGGACAAGAAAAACAAACGTTCGCAAAATTAATTAGTTATTATTCATGCGAACGTTCATATTTATCTCAATTCTGATTGGTTATTATATTATATGTCTTCTTGATGACCTATCTACTCAAGAGGTCCAACTGTTGGCCTCACTCTGATCATTATTTAAACATGTAAGACCTTTTTATTTAAAAACGAAAAACCACGCGACCTTAATAAACGAAAAATAAGAAGTTACCTGCAAAAAAATAACTTTTCGAAAATTTAAGACCCTTAATTGAGGTGATGTATTTTATCTTTGAAATTTAAAATATTGATATTCAGAAAATATCAATCTTCCGTCGGTTTGCTAGAGTTCATTGACGGCTTTTCAATTGTTTGTTGAAAATCGCGTCCAGACAATTCGGCCAAAGACAATTCAGCCGATTTGAAATTCAGCCAAGAGTATGCAGAAAATTCAGCCAATAATAGTAACCGCCGCAGTCGCGCCAACGTGTTGCGAGCTTGCCAACAGAGGGTAGGACTCTATACGAAAGTTAGAGCAGGTTATCGCCGCGCGCATAGCGCGCCCACCGGCTACCTTAAACCGAGAAGTATCTCCAATTCCGATTTTTTCTTTCGAATCTAGCGTTTTGTAAAACTGACTGAATTGTCTGTATACTTTTGGCCGAATTGTCTGAATTTCAAATTGGCAGAATTGTCTTTGGCCGAATTGTCTGTGCGCCGTTGAATATATATGGATATTCCAGGTAACCTGCCAATCTTCGAGGGCATTGCTCCAACTGTGTTCGACCAAGAGCAGGAGTACTACATCTGTGTCAAGTGTGGAAAAGTGTATTGGGAGGGAGGACACCACGAGAGAGCCATGAAAAACTTCTCTGACCTTTGGTTCAATCAAGATCAGAACTGAATCTATACATTAGATAAATTATTTTCCCATGTGTTTATTTAAGTGACGTGCTTATTCATTATTTAAAAAATATATGCGTGTTGTCCCGGATTAGATAGCGCTACTCGCGTAATGCGACTAATCAACCAGCAAAATATTAAGTGCCGAAAAGAGGAACTGAATTTGATTTTCACTTATTTACACATGCAAGCTAGCGTTGTCTGATTACAAACTTTGTTTTTGTTTCCAATCCAACATGCAAATAAAAAGACTAATTTTGGTAGCACTTTTCTTGCATAGTATTGGCAGTTTATTACCATGTGTTCTCCAATTTCTCAGTGATTATTGTTTGTTTTCGGTAAGCTCCAGTGGAACAGGTCTGTACAGCAGTCGGCTGTGATACTTGAGTGTTCGAGGATTAAGGTTCGAATCCCGTAGTCAATTCTCAAAACTCATTACGTTTTTGTTCTTGACTTTTTTTCTTTTTTTGACCCTTTAAAGCTTCTTGGCTTTTTTGCTAGTGTTTGTCGAAGCGCAGCTTCGCCTCTGTGTTTGATGGCTCTTTTTGATGAAAGTGATTTCATCAACCTGGATGAATACTTGATTACTCTTTTTCTCTTTACAATGGTGAGCGTTAATGTTATACTACGACTATTCTTTTTTTCTTACCTAAGTTAGAAGGCTTGGACATTCGAATAGTAATAAGTTAACACAGTTGATTCATTTTAAATGCATCAAATGAACCAAAATTAGCTATTTGCTTCCAACAATATAAAAATCATAAAAATACGATTTCAGAAATTTTTTAACTCAATATATTTCGCAATTTTTTGAAATGCATAAAATATACATAATGTTGTTTTATGCTTTCCAATTTATTGCATGCAAAGTTAGTGTGGGTGCCTTCAGTTTGTTATATTGCAAACTACTTGCAAAATTGTCTCAATTTGTATTTGGTGCCGCTTTTGTTGCATCGCATTGGCTGCTTTATTTGTGACTAGTGCTGCTTGTAGCTGCTTTATTTGTGGCTAGTGTTTGCCGGTTGTTAAGCGTTCGTGGCCGAGAGGGCGGGTGAGAATCTAGTTCTCGAGGTCGCAGGTTCGAAGCCCATGCGTATAAAAGTGTTACTAATTCGAGGCTTTTTTCTATCTTTTCTTATTTCACTTTATAAAGCTGATTTTTGTCGTGTCCTCGCTAGTGTTTGCAAAGCGCAGCCTCGCTTGTGTGTAATATTTGACTTCCGGAACTTCCTGCAGATCAGATATTTCTCCATCTATTGGAAATAGTCGAAATGGCTTGAAATTGCTATCTCCCATTCTTTACCTTTATAATGTTGGTTTTTTGTCATAGCCTTAAAACAGATCAAATTTGGACAATTTTCAAAGAGAAAGAAATAAATTCCCAAATAGTTCTGTTTTGTGGCTAGGACAAAAAACTCACCATTATGAAGGTTAATTTAAACTGATCTTTCACAATATTTTAGCCACGTTATGAATAGAGGCAATCAAAAGAGAAAGTTAAAAGCGAAAGTTGAAACGTTTCATTAAGAAAACTGTGTGCTCCTACGGAACACATAAGACATCTCTCTCTCAAGAAAAACATTGATTATCAAAAAATTCTGTCTGCCTTGCAAGCAACATGACTTTAAAGCTTTTTTGATTTCTTGGATTAACCAAAGAGCCTTAAATTGAGTTATACAAATGAAGGGTAATTTTTTCAGCAAAGGGCTCGACGTTTCAGCTCCAAATCTAACCATTTTTATTTTTGAGATGAAAAGTCAAAAATCTTGTTCCAGATGTATTCTTGAATAACAAAGATCAAGTTTCAGGCTTGATATAGCTTTGAAAGTTTTCGAACAAAAAATTTTGTTATTCTTGAATACATCAGAAACAAGATTTTTGAATTTTCGCCGACAAATCTAGCAATTTATTAGATTTTTAAAGCTCTTTTAAAATTTATTTCCTAGTCTAATCAATTTTACTTTCTAAATAAACCCTCAGACGACTCAACAATGAAGGTGTAAAAAAGTTGAACAGTTTGTTGCGGAAAAACTTGCCAATTGTTGCTTTTGGAGCTAAAACGTCCAGCTTTTTGCTTAAGGAATTACCCTTCATTTGCATAACTCAATTTTAAGGGACTTTGATTACTCCAAGAAATCAAAATAGCTTCAAAATCATGTTATTTGCGAGATAAATTGGGAATTTTACGATAATCAATGTTTTCCTGGAAGGGATATCTAAAGCTTTACGCAAGAGTAAAACAAAGTTTCGATAAAACATGAAAATTGTCAATACTAAGTTTTGTCTGACTAAGAAATTGTCGGATAAGTGAGATAGAGTGGAACATTCGGTAAGCTTGTATTTTTGGCTGAAAATTCAATGAGTTAGATTTTAGGTTTAAAGGGTATTCAAGAGAAAAAGCCAGTCATTGAAAAAAAAACTTAGCTGAAGGCTAAGCTGATTATAGAAATTAGCATCAAACACTGGTTCGCATTGAAGGCTGTGCCTCCTAAAGTAATTTTTCGAAGTGGGTTAGAACTTAAGACTAGGGTATTTTGTTGATGCTTTTCAGATATTTCCAAGTTGGTACCAGCCATATCAAAATTTTTAAAATCCTGATATGGGTTTCAAACTTTTGAGAAAGTTGCTTCAGTGGCGACTAAATATGAACCCTATAAAAAAATTTTAATTGAAAAGTTTTCATTTATAATTTGTTTATTGGTCATTTATTACTTGCATGGCGGTACCATTTTGAAATATTTGATTTCTTGGTATAGAGTTCAAAAGTTTTGGACAAGCAGATTCATTGTCGACAAAATTTGAACCATAAAAATGTTTGAAATTTTGAAAAATTATTGTTATTTAGAGGAAGGTGCATCTAAAAAAAGTTAATTAATAGAAATTTTAACTTTGTATTTGCTTCACTTGTAATTTTGAATCAATTTAATTATCTGATGATCAATCTTTTGTTTTCACAAAACAAGCAAGTCTTGAATGTTATTTTTCCGTGGTTCTTACATTTTTTAATCATAACAGGAAAATTCTGTGATAATGGAAATGCCAGGTCTATCTGTTGTTTTCTTATATGTGATAATGTTTCTTGGCAATTTTTTTCTGCGCCTAATTTGTTGAAAGCAGCAAAACGGATTTTCACACCACTTGCGATAAACAATACGGGCCATAAAATTTATATGGCAAAAGCTGTTGTTTGAACTGAGTTGTACAGTTTCTTTAGTTCGTAGGGCCTATCGCTCAGATCCTTGATGTTTTTCAAAATTAGCCGAGCATCAGATTTTCCCGTAAAAAAGTCGTAGTCATGTTCTCCCCTCGTTTCAACAAAATTTTCTTCATCTGTAATTGCTGTTGCTCGGCATTCATTTGTTTCGTGTTTCGAGCAGTTCCAGTTTGTAGTTGTTTTGTTTGTTTTGTTTTTGTATATAAGATAATACTCGTGGCCTGATACCACTGGTATTTTTTGTCTCTCTAACATAAGGCAAAATGAACAGACGCTGCAAACAATTTAGTGCATATTTCATGATAGATTGCCATTCTAATTTCAAAATTTTGAAAGCAAATGAACGTCGAATTTATATTTCGGTTGGGTCATAATGTGCTTGTGGTTAAACGAACTAACTATTTTTGAATGTATGGCAATTATGATAATTTTCAACTGGTGTTTAACGTAAAATAGACACAGAAGACCCTTATCCGTGTGATCACAGGCGGATCTGGATTTTCTGCGATGTTTGATTTTTCGATGTGTGGGTACGTGGGCGATGTGTGGGTGTGTCAGTTTTTAGCCCGTTTTTGAAAGATTTTTTGGCGCTATCGACTGAAAATTGCTATAGAGGAGCACCACGGCCGGTCAAAAAGGTTACCTTAGGGTGGACCTTTCGGGTGGTGAGGGAAGTCGAATTCCTGAAAAGATGCTTCCAATTTCCCCTGCAAGACCCTCCTCCCTGGATGCGATGACTTGTTAAATTTCAAAAAAATGATTTTCTATTCCATTTTAAGTTAAAGTTATTGTTGAAAGTTTTTTTTGAGATTTGAAATTTGTTTCGAAAAGTTTGTATAGTGAAAAAAAGATAGTTTTTGTATTTCAAATACAATTACAGAAAGTAGGTTTTGAGTGATTAATTCTAGGTTAGTGCGCTTGTATCAATTCTGGATGGAAAGCACTGCAACTGGAAGAAACTGGCCGGCCACGAGCTCTTCTTCTCAGACCACTTCGACCCCGAGACAGCTGCCATTCTCAAGTCGGGTAAGATAGAACACATTGAGAGTTTTTATCATTATTGTGATTATAATAATTATTTCGAATATCTTAAAGTCGGCTGAAATTGCAAAATCATTCGTAAAGGTCCCGATTTTTTTTTATTATCTAATGGAAAAATGCTTATAGAATCTCATAAAGCTGGATTTCGGCATTTGATGGATATTTCCAGATATCAGATATTTTTGTTTTGAGTAATTAAATACCTATACTACCCTTTCACAACGCGATCTTTGCTTAGCAGTTGTCAGAGTTTCAGCAAACAGCACTATTTCAGATCTATCAACAATATTTGGAAGATCATTTAGGTTTAAAAAAAATGAAAAATGGTCCTGTAGACTGATCCTTGAGGGTCTCCGCATGCCAAGGAACACAATGACGACATTTTTTTAAATCGGTTTTAGCAAATGATATCTGTTTTTAAAGTATGTTGTACGAAGAGGATGAGCACGACCTCTGTAGCCATATTTTTCTAAATTTGTCACTAGTACATCATGATTGGTGAAATCAAATTCTTTTTTTAGACCAACAAAGCAAAATTCATCAAATAGTTTTTTTTGTCCCTCCCATCTCTTATGTTTTCACTGAATTCAATCAAAGCTTCCACACTAGTTTAGTTGATTGACTTTTTTTGGTCGAAATCCGAACTGTTGTGTGAGTAATTTTTTGTGTATTTTAAAGGAATTTAATATATTATTTGGTCTATAATTCTATAGTAATTTTTTTGCACTTTTGAAAATAGGCTTGACTTTTGCCTCTTTTAAGAAAATATACACTGAACCTTTGCAAACCTTTGCAAATACACTGATTAAAAGGCTGCAAGTTTTTTTTGAAATAGCTGGCATAGAAAGTTTCAAAATTTTTTGATTTTGCCATCATGACCAGCTTATCCACCTTTTTCAAAGATATCTCAGTAAAAAAAAAACATTTTATTTTTCTCCTCTATCTTAATTTTTTACAGCTTTTTTGTGATCAAGTGAGGAAATTTGCAATTTTTTTTGTATTGAAACAAAGTTTTCATTAAAAGCTTCATCATCGAAAACATTCAATATTTTCGGTTTTGTTTTGCAGAACTAATCAAAAGCTTGGATTTGGAACAGTGTTTTAGATTCTTAAACCTTTTCAGTTTTTTAAATCGAAATTTTTCCCTTTTATTTTCTGACTACCTTTTTTATATAGTTTTTAGCCTTTGAATGTTCTGATTTATTTGCTTCGTTGAATTAGTTTGCGTAATCTTTTGTTGTTTTTCCATTTTTATCAGAGTGCGTTTTACTAAGTAGACGGTCATCATTTAGACAATGACTAGTTAAATCATTCATAATTGGGACAAGAAAAACAAACGTTCGCAAAATTAATTAGTTATTATTCATGCGAACGTTCATATTTATCTCAATTCTGATTGGTTATTATATTATATGTCTTCTTGATGACCTATCTACTCAAGAGGTCCAACTGTTGGCCTCACTCTGATCATTGTTTAAACATGTAAGACCTTTTTCTTTTAAAACGAAAAACCACGCGACCTTAATAAACGAAAAATAAGAAGTTACCTGCAAAAAAACAACTTTTCGAAAATTTAAGACCCTTAATTGAGGTGATCTATTTTATCTTTGAAATTTAAAATATTGATATTCAGAAAACATCAATCTTCCGTCGGTTTGCTAGAGTTCATTGACGGCTTTTCAATTGTTTGTTGAAAATCGCGTCTAGACAATTCGGCCAAAGACAATTCAGCCGATTTGAAATTCAGCCAAGAGTATGCAGAAAATTCAGCCAATAATAGTAACCGCCGCAGTCGCGCCAACGTGTTGCGAGCTTGCCAACAGAGGGTAGGACTCTATACGAAAGTTAGAGCAGGTTACCACCGGTGACCTTAAACCGAGAAGTATCTCCAATTCCGATTTTTTCTTTCGAATCTAGCGTTTTGTAAAACTGACTGAATTGTCTATATACTTTTGGCCGAATTGTCTGAATTTCAAATTGGCAGAATTGTCTTTGGCCGAATTGTCTGTGCGCCGTTGAATATATATGGATATTCCAGGTAACCTGCCAATCTTCGAGGGCATTGCTCCAACTGTGTTCGACCAAGAGCAGGAGTACTACATCTGTGTCAAGTGTGGAAAAGTGTATTGGGAGGGAGGACACCACGAGAGAGCCATGAAAAACTTCTCTGACCTTTGGTTCAATCAAGATCAGAACTGAATCTATACATTAGATAAATTATTTTCCCATGTGTTTATTTAAGTGACGTGCTTATTCATTATTTAAAAAATATATGCGTGTTGTCCCGGATTAGATAGCGCTACTCGCGTAATGCGACTAATCAACCAGCAAAATATTAAGTGCCGAAAAGAGGAACTGAATTTGATTTTCACTTATTTACACATGCAAGCTAGCGTTGTCTGATTACAAACTTTGTTTTTGTTTCCAATCCAACATGCAAATAAAAAGACTAATTTTGGTAGCACTTTTCTTGCATAGTATTGGCAGTTTATTACCATGTGTTCTCCAATTTCTCAGTGATTATTGTTTGTTTTCGGTAAGCTCCAGTGGAACAGGTCTGTACAGCAGTCGGCTGTGATACTTGAGTGTTCGAGGATTAAGGTTCGAATCCCGTAGTCAATTCTCAAAACTCATTACGTTTTTGTTCTTGACTTTTTTTCTTTTGTGACCCTTTAAAGCTTCTTGGCTTTTTTGCTAGTGTTTGTCGAAGCGCATCTTCGCCTCTGTGTTTGATGGCTCTATTTGATGAAAGCAATTTCATCAACCTGGATGAATACTTGATTACTCTTTTTCTCTTTACACTGGTGAGCGTTAATGTTATACTACGACTATTCTTTTTTCTTACCTAAGTTAGAAGGCTTGGACATTCGAATAGTAATAAGTTAACACAGTTGATTCATTTTAAATGCATCAAATGAACCAAAATTAGCTATTTGCTTCCAACAATATAAAAATCATAAAAATACGATTTCAGAAATTTTTTAACTCAATATATTTCGCAATTTTTTGAAATGCATAAAATATACATAATGTGGTTTTATGCTTTCCAATTTATTGCATGCAAAATTAGTGTGGGTGCCTTCAGTTTGTTATATTGCAAACTACTTGCAAAATTGTCTCAATTTGTATTTGGTGCCGCTTTTGTTGCATCGCATTGGCAAGTTGCTAGCATATGTAGCTGCTTTATTTGTGACTAGTGTTTGCCGGTTGTTAAGCGTTCGTGGCCGAGAGGGCGGGTGAGAATCTAGTTTTCGAGGTCGCAGGCTCGAAGCCCATGCGTATAAAAGTGTTACTAATTCGAGGCTTTTTTCTATCTTTTCTTATTTCACTTTATAAAGCTGATTTTTGTCGTGTCCTCGCTAGTGTTTGCAAAGCGCAGCCTCGCTTGTGTGTAATATTTGACTTCCGGAACTTCCTGCAGATCAGATATTTCTCCATCTATTGGAAATAGTCGAAATGGCTTGAAATTGCTATCTCCCATTCTTTACCTTTATAATGTTGGTTTTTTGTCATAGCCTTAAAACAGATCAAATTTGGACAATTTTCAAAGAGAAAGAAATAAATTCCCAAATAGTTCTGTTTTGTGGCTAGGACAAAAAACTCACCATTATGAAGGTTAATTTAAACTGATCTTTCACAATATTTTAGCCACGTTATGAATAGAGGCAGTTAAAAGAGAAAGTTAAAAGCGAAAGTTGAAACGTTTCATTAAGAAAACTGTGTGCTCCTACGGAACACATAAGACATCTCTCTCTCAAGAAAAACATTGATTATCAAAAAATTCTGTCTGCCTTGCAAGCAACATGACTTTAAAGCTTTTTTGATTTCTTGGATTAACCAAAGAGCCTTAAATTGAGTTATACAAATGAAGGGTAATTTTTTCAGCAAAGGGCTCGACGTTTCAGCTCCAAATCTAACCATTTTTATTTTTGAGATGAAAAGTCAAAAATCTTGTTCCAGATGTATTCTTGAATAACAAAGATCAAGTTTCAGGCTTGATATAGCTTTGAAAGTTTTCGAACAAAAAATTTTGTTATTCTTGAATACATCAGAAACAAGATTTTTGAATTTTCGCCGACAAATCTAGCAATTTATTAGATTTTTAAAGCTCTATTAAAATTTATTTCCTAGTCTAATCAATTTTACTTTCTAAATAAACCCTCAGACGACTCAACAATGAAGGTGTAAAAAAGTTGAACAGTTTGCTGCGGAAAAACTTGCCAATTGTTGCTTTTGGAGCTAAAACGTCCAGCTTTTTGCTTAAGGAATTACCCTTCATTTGCATAACTCAATTTTAAGGGAATTTGATTACTCCAACAAATCAAAATAGCTTCAAAATCATGTTGTTTGCGAGATAAATTGGGAATTTTACGATAATCAATGTTTTCCTGGAAGGGATATCTAAAGCTTTACGCAAGAGTAAAACAAAGTTTCGATAAAATATGAAAATTGTCAATACTAAGTTTTGTCTGACTAAGAAATTGTCTGATAAGTGAGATAGAGTGGAACATTCGGTAAGCTTGTATTTTTGGCTGAAAATTCAGTGAGTTAGATTTTAGGTTTAAAGGGTATTCAAGAGAAAAAGCCAGTCATTGAAAAAAAAAACTTAGCTGAAGGCTAAGCTGATTATAGAAATTAGCATCAAACACTGGTTCGCATTGAAGGCTGTGCCTCCTAAAGTAATTTTTCGAAGTGGGTTAGAACTTAAGACTAGGGTATTTTGTTGATGCTTTTCAGATATTTCCAAGTTGGTACCAGCCATATCAAAATTTTTAAAATCCTGATATGGGTTTCAAACTTTTGAGAAAGTTGCTTCAGTGGCGACTAAATATGAACCCTATAAAAAAATTTTAATTGAAAAGTTTTCATTTATAATTTGTTTATTGGTCATTTATTACTTGCATGGCGGTACCATTTTGAAATATTTGATTTCTTGGTATAGAGTTCAAAAGTTTTGGACAAGCAGATTCATTGTCGACAAAATTTGAACCATAAAAATGTTTGAAATTTTGAAAAATTATTGTTATTTAGAGGAAGGTGCATCTAAAAAAAGTTAATTAATAGAAATTTTAAGTTTTGTATTTGCTTCACTTGTAATTTTGAATCAATTTAATTATCTGATGATCAATCTTTTGTTTTCACAAAACAAGCAAGTCTTGAATGTTATTTTTTCGTGGTTCTTACATTTTTTAATCATAACAGGAAAATTCTGTGATAATGGAAATGCCAGGTCTATCTGTTGTTTTCTTATATGTGATAATGTTTCTTGGCAATTTTTTTCTGCGCCTAATTTGTTGAAAGCAGCAAAACGGATTTTCACACCACTTGCGATAAACAATACGGGCTATAAAATTTATATGGCAAAAGCTGTTTGCTTCATAAAATCCAATAAGAAGTTTAGAAAAGATGTCAAACATTCGATATGCTTCAAAGGGTAAGAGTTTCAAAGTTGTTGCTTAAAAAAGGCTCAATAGAAACTCCATTCTATGTCCATTCAACTGATGCCCTTGCTTAATGTCTAAGCTGAGTTAGTAATTATACTTCCTGGCACTAAAATATTGTTTCATCCATCAATTTTATTCGTGTTGCCATTTTGTGCAATTTCTTGCATTAGTGCTTAATTGTAGCTAAGGTAGAATTACTATAACCATAACAAAGGTTTTGCATACTTTTTCCCATTTTTGAAGAAAATGACGGATAATCATGCTTGGGGTGGTTTTTTTCTTTAATAAAATTTCCAATTCCTAATTAATTTTCTTGAGCTTCTGAAGTATTTTTATGTTCTGAAAGATGTCGTGGTTCTGAGCCTAATTTGAAAACTCTTTTTCAACTTGTAATCATTTTTATGGGGGTTTGAAAACCACAATATTAGCCAATCTGGAATAACTAACTGAGATTTCCATTTTGGCCAATTTGGGACAATTACCACGCGAATATTTTGCGCTATTAACGCGTAAGTGGAGAGTTAATCCGTCTTAAAAGCGTTCCAAATTGGCTGAAAGAAGCTTATTTGCCACAATTGATTTATTACAAGGAGCAAAATTTATCCTTTTGTACTTTATATGGCGTGTGGGGGGATGATTTTCATAAAAAATTTCATATTTTAGAAAAAAAAGTTTTCATTTTATTATATTACATTTAAATTTTTGATGTTATTAGTGCTCCATAAAACCTTAAAAGGCAGTCGGAACATTCAGGACTTCACCCTGATACGAGCAGTTTTGTTTAAGTTATAAAAATATTTGTCACGTAATTCGGTCTGCTGATCTACCAATAAATGACTTTTGGAACCAGTTCAAACTAGTAATTATAACCAATTCTTTTTTTGATAAAACTATCTCTATAAAATATTACTAACTAATCAATCATATTCCATAACTAGCACTGACAATTTTTTGTTGTGCTAAAACTTCTTGTAAATTCAGCACCAGAACAACTTGAATAAACATTAGAAGACAGTTGTTGTTCCGACGAATTTCGATTTTTTAACTGACCATTTCTGACAGAATTTTTTATATTATTCAAAAGATATTGTTGTCCATTTCGGCCAATTTGGGACAATTAACGCGCGATATATTTCGTGCTATTAAAGCGTAAGCGGAGATTTAATCCGTCTTAGAAATCAATCCAAATTAGTTGAAAGAAGCTTATTTGCCAAAATTGATTTGGTACAATGAGCGAAATCTATTCTTTTGTACTTTATATGGCGTGTGGGGGGATGATTTTCAAAGAAAATTTCAAATTTAAGAGAAAAACAATTCATTTCATTTCATTACATTTAATTTTTTGATGTTAATACTGGTCCATAAAACCTTAAAAGGCAGTCGGAACATTCAGGGCTTCGCCCTTATACGAGCAGTCTTGTTCTCTTTTGGAAAAGTTCCATAAACCTAACCCGCAAGTACCAGTATACACTTGATATTTTGTGACTAGGAGATATAAGAGTAAGATTAAGATTGGTATTAGACTAAAAAGGTGCACGAATCTATCCGGCCGAAAATAAGATAGGGTGACGAACAGACGATCTACCTCATCTGAAATTACTCAATGAGAAAGCTACCTTTGGCTTAAACTCACTTGGTTTACTGCGAGCAATGATGTTTACTGTGAGTAAATTTTTTTCCGTGAGCGTATCTAGTACTTTGAACATACCTCATTCTTGTAGCTGCTACCCAATCACGCAAAAATTTCAGTATGGACTTTTGGTTTAAACATTCGGCGACTGAGTTTTTTTTTGCCGCAACAGAAAGCAACATTTTTGAGAGTGCGAAAACTAGATATACTTAACAAAGGCAGCCCATTGCTGTGCTAGAAGCATATAAGGTCCGAGCACAGTAGTTTAGGCA